TCTTGTATGTCTTCCATTTCCTAATAATTGCTCCCACAGTTGATTTCTTCAAACCAAGCTGCTTACCTATTGCAGATTCAGTCTTCCCAGCCTGGTGCATGTCTACAATTTTGTTTCTGGTGTCCTTTGACAGCTCTTTGGTCTTGGCCATATTGGAGTTTGAAGTGTGACTGTTTGAGGTTGTGGACAGGTGTCTTTTATACTGATAACAAGTTCAAACAGGTGCCATTAATACAGGTAACGAGTGGAGGACAGAGGAGCCTCTTAAAGAAGAAGTTACAGGTCTGTGAGAGCCAGAAATCTTGCTTGTTTGTAGGTGACCAAATACTTATTTTCCACCATAATTTGCAAATAAATTCATAAAAAATCCTACAATGTGATTTTCTGGATTTCTTTTCTCAATTTGTCTGTCATAGTTGACGTATACCTATGATGCAAATTACAGGTCTCTCTCATCTTTTTAAGTGGGAGAACTTGCACATTTGGTGGCTGACTAAATATTTTTTCCTCCACTATATGTTGGCCGGTGTGGTTCCCAATCAGAGGCAGCTGTAGCTCGTTGTCTCTGATTGGGGACCTTACTTAGGCATCCTATTGGCACTAGTGGGTTGTGGGATCTTTTTCCGTATAAGGTATGTTGTTTGTGTCTACCTTGGACTTCACGTTTCGTTTAGTTTGTTGTTTTGTCGTTGTGTTTATTCTGTATAATAAACATGTATGCATATCACGCTGCGCCTTGGTCCGTCCCGTCCTTTAACGAGCGTGACACAACCCTTAAAAAAAAACATGAAAAAAGCTTGGGTGTCAGGCACACGTGAACAAATCACATATAACATTATAATATATTTCTTTACATGTGAAATGTTCACGAGTCTGACGTGGTTTTCGGACACGTTATTTTTCTCACCACTTCCAGCTACATCTGGTCTCTCATCCAGGGACTGAACAGGACCAATGCTGCTTAGCTTCAGAGGCAAATCAGCAGTGCGATGCAGGGTGCTATGTTGCTAGAATGAATGTGCTAAAACTTGCAACTGGAAAAAAGGCAGCAAAAGCAAAGGCCAGGATAACATAACCAAAGATAGGGAAAATTGCAGGAAAGAGGGAGACGTTTTATTGAATTGCGTTATCATAAAATGTTTCACTGAAAACAATTTTTTTGCATCCATTTACAATTCATTTGCTCTCGCATTACATTTTTTTCCCTTGCAATATTTCACATGGGAATATTTCATGGATTGAACAACTGAATATGGCAACATTCAGGATGAATCAAACAACTGTATTTTTTATTCACCAATATTTTGTACATAAAGGCTCTCCAAATCTTTTTTTTTTTAATATTCATAAATACTTTCCTATCCCTAAATAATACAAGATAAGAGCATTTTTTAATCTACCAATAGATACTGAAAAGGAGACAAATATGTGTGTATTTACATGGCTTTCTTTAATTGATGTCAAATATTCTGAACCGTTCTCTACATACAGTGCCTTCGAAAAGTATTCAGGCCCCGTGACGTCTTCCACAAATTGTTTTACATTAATAAAAAAAAATAAAAAAAATGTATGTATGTATCCTCAGCAATCTACAGTCGTGGTCAAAAGTTTTGAGAATGACACAAGTATTGGTCTTCACAAAGTTTGCTGCTTCAGTGTTTTTAGATATTTTTGTCAGATGTTACTATGGTATACTGAAGTATAATTACAAGCATTCCATAAGTGTCAAAGGCTTTTATTGACAATTACATTAAGTTTATGCAAAGTGTCAATGTTTGCAGTGTTGACCCTTCTTTTTCAAGACCTCTGCAATCCGCCCTGGCATGCTGTCAATTAACTTCTGGGCCACATCCTGACTGATGGCAGCCCATTCTTGCATAATCAATGCTTTTTTGGGATTAAGTTCATTTTCATGGCAAAGAGGGACTTTGCAATTGATTGCAATTCATCTGATCACTCTTCATAACAATCTGGAGTATATGCAAAATGCCATCATAAAAACTGAGGCAGCAGACTTTGTGAAAATTAATATTTGTGTCATTCTCAAAACTTTTGATCACGACTGTACACACAATACCCCATAATGACAAAGCGAAAACAGTTTTTTAGAAATGTGTGCAAATTTATAAAATATAAAAAACAGAAATACCTTATTTACATAAGCATTCAGACCCTTTGCTATGAGACTCAAAATTGAACTCAGATTCATCCTGTTTCCTTTGCTCATCGTTGAGATGTTTCTACAACTTGATTAGAGTCCACCTGTGGTAAATTCAATTGATTGGACATGATTTGGAAAGGCACACACCTGTCTATATAAGGTCCCAAAGTTGACAGTGCATGTCAGAGCAAAAACCAAGCGATGAGGTCGAAGGAATTGTCTGTAGAGCTCCGAGACAGGATTGTGTCGAGGCACAGATCTGGGGAAGGGTACCAAAAAATGTCTGCAGCATTGAAGGTCCCCAAGAACACTGTGGCCTCCATCATTCTTAAATGGAAGAAGTGTGGAACCACCAAGACTCTTCCTAGAGCTGGCCGCCTGGCCAAACTGAGCAATTGGGGGAGAAGGGCCTTGGTCAGGGAGGTGACCAAGAACCCGATGGTCACTCTGACAGAGCTCTAGAGCTCCTCTGTGGAGATGGGAGAACCTTCCAGAAGGACAACCATCTCTGCAGCACTCCACCAATTAGGCCTTTATTGCAGCGTGGCCAGACGGAAGCCACTCCTCAGTAAAAAGGCACATGACAGCCTGCTTGGAGTTTGCCAAAAGGCACCTAAAGACTCTCAGACAATGATAAACAAGATTGTCTGGTCTGATGAAACAAAGATTGAACTCTTTGGCCTGAATGCCAAGCGTCACGTCTGGAGAAAACCTGGCACCATCCCTACGGTGAAGCATGGTGGTGGCAGCATCATGCTGTGGGGATGTTTTTCAGCGGCAGGGACTGGGAGACTAGTCAGGATCGAGGCAAAGATAAATGGAACAAAGTGCAGAAAGATCCTTGATGAAAACCTGCTCCAGAGTGCTCAGGACCTCAGACTGGGGTGAAGGTTCACCTTCCAACAGGACAATGACCCTAAACCCACATTCAAGACAACGCAGGAAAGGCTTCGGAAAAAGTATCTGAATGTCCCTGATTGGCCCAGCCAGAGCCCGGACTTCTCCGGAGAGACCTGGAAATAGCTGTGCAGCGACGCTCCCCATCCAACCTGACAGAGCTTGAGAGGATCTGCAGAGAAGAATGGGAGAAACTCTCCAAATACATGTTTGCCAAGCTTGTAGCGTCATACCCAAGAAGACTCGATGCTGTAATCGTTGCCAAAGGTGCTTCAACAAAGTACTGAGTAAACGGTCTGAATACGTATTTAAATGTGATATTTTGCTTTGTCATTATGGGATATTGTGTGTAGATTGAGGAGGGGAAAAAAACAATTTAATACATTTTAGTAATAAGGCTGTTACGTAACAAAATGTGAAAAAAGTCAAGGGGTCTGAATACTTTCCAAAGGCAATGTATATTCTAGTGAGTCTGTTGAGAAAATTCAAATTAAAGCTACACCAAATTTAAAGAGATGGCTTTAGATATATGTACTGAAAACCCTCCCACTTGCTGGTTAACATATTTTCTCGTGGAGTTTTCATTGAATAGGGTTTTCAGTACATTTATCTAAAGCCATCTCTTTAAATTTGGTGTAGCTTTAATTAGAATTTTCTCAACCAGCAAGTGGGAGGGTTTTCAGCATTTGAATTATATTTATTCTGAGTGTGCAAGGGAACCACACCTGCAAAGCCTGTTATGCACCTGCATAAGGTAAGTCTGAATAGGAACTACTGAGAAGTGCGTAGGAAAGGCATATATTTCTTACGTCTGAATCGGGCCCATATTGAATTGTGTTTGGTTGACAACACAACCAAATATCAACATTTAGGAGATGTATCTACTTCTTGGATAGTTCCATCCGAGCCACTGGCTTAATCCCATTCTTTAACTTTTATTTTTGGTTGATTTGGAGAAGTGAACCAACATATAATTTGTTAACTTGTCGACAAGTTTATAGGCTATTTATAGTATTTCAAAAGTGATATTGAATTGTGTTTGGTTGTCAAAACAACCAAATATCAACATTTGAAGGAGATGTGTCTTCTGCTTGGATAGTTCCATCTGTGCCACTGACTTAGTCTGGCTTTAATTCCTGTTTGTGGAATTAAAGAATAGGACTAAATCAAATCAAACTTTAAATGCACTTTAAATAAAGTTTGATTTGATTTAGTAATATTATTTTTAGGCATTATATAAATGTTTTGTTGAATTCTGGGTTGAATTCAAACCAAAGCTGTTGATGACTTTGCAAATGCTATATAGGCCTAAATACCATCATTGATGATATTTGAGTGATAAAGAATGGTCACATTTAATATGCTCTGTTAAACCTACCTTTTGGAATGACTTCGATAGCAACAGTGATTCTATTTAGTTTTTAAGTGGAGATCTCTCAACAATCATTCTCACGATAGCACATTGGTGATAGTCAGTGACAAATATCATAGCTACGCAGGGCTAGGCTTGGTTAAAACCCTGGTTGGTAGACCAAAGTGTAGCTATAGATAAATTGTCCAGTAGGAGGTGCTGCCCAGCCTATATATTTTTTTTTCTGATAGTGGATATAAGGTTGAAGATCTGTTTTTTTTTAAAGGTACAAATTCAACATATTTTATACAAGGTTTGTCTATGTTGAAATATGGTTACCATGATGACATAATCCTGTGGTTTAAATTTCACCCTCAAAACAACATTTGACGTTGATTACTTTTTTCAAATATAATGTATTTTCTACATAAATTCCATGTCGCTATCCGTTGACATATTATGTTGAAACAACATTGAGTCATACAGTTTGTGCCCAGTGGGTAGGCTTTAGCTCGGTGGGCTAACGCTGTCTGCTCAGGTCTAGCTGGTATCTGTGCCAGTGGTCAGGTTTCTCAGTGTAGCAAATAACTCTTCCATCTCTTTCTGCAGGAGAACATTCCGAGTCTCAGCATCTTGCCTTGCGCGTTCCGAGTTCCCCAGTCGGATCTCCATCATGCGGAACCTCTTCTTCTCCTGGCCTAGATCCTCTTCTAAACGACCAGACTGGAGACGAAGACCTGAACACGACTCCTCCAATCTAGGAACATAGAGAGAGAGGTTAGAGATTACAGCAGACACACACGCGTGGATGTGCACACATGCATGTATGTGCACACACTCACATACACACACAAACACCATAACATTGCCATATCAACAAGAACACAAGTTAGTTCATACTTGTGTATGCGTGTCTCATAGCTGATCCTCTGTTTCCTCAGCTCCTCCTTCAACTCTGTCACCAGGCTGAACAGACCCTCGTTGACCCCTGACCTCTGACCTGAGATGTCATCCCCAGGGTCACCCTCAGTCCAGCCAGCGCTGCTCACAGACAGCTCTAGAGCAGAGCTACTGCCCCCAGCCACCGAGGACCCCGCCACAGCCTGCCCTGACCATAGCCCTGACCCTAACCCAGAGTTCAGTGTGCTGCACTCACTTCCTGTAGATTCAGCCAATGGGATCTCACAAGAGGTCCAGGGGGAGGGGCTGCCACCGGGCATGCTCAGACTGCAGGGAGTGACATTAACGTTGTCATAGGTCGAGAGCCTGTTGGAATGGGGGGAGTTTCTGACAGACAGGGAGGGCTTTATATTGGGATAGGAGGAGCCTATAGTAGAACAGGAGGAGTCTATATGTAAAGGAGATGAGTCTTTTAGTGTGCTTCTTTGGGAGTGTGAAGAGTCTTTTAGCGACAATGAGGAGTCAGTATATGAGTCTAGCAGAGAATCTTTATGTGTCTCTTTCAGGCAAAGCGAGGACTCTTTGAGTCGTTCACCGGTCGAAGCGGTCCGTCGGTGACTGCGGAAGGACGTCAGGCCGTTCATCAGCCAGTTGCCCCCGGTGACTGTCGACACATCAACTGCTGACCCCCCCAACTTCCCCCTCACCCCCGCTGACCCAAACCTGCCCTTCAAGGAGGACCTCCATGAAGACTGGCTTTTGGACTGCTTACTGGGACCGAGGTCTGCGCCACTACAACCCGAGAGCTTTCTTTCGCTCTTTCCTTCACTCTTTCTCTCCACCTTTTCTTCTGTTCCTTCACCATTATTTCCCTTAGAATCCCCCTCTGTTCTTTCCTTGGGGGTTGATCCAGGGTGGTCAGTGTCAAGAGAGGACACTGTGGAGGTCGGGAGGGGTTTAAGTGGTTCCTGACTTGGGGTGTTAAGGGTCTGTCCCAGGGATGGATAGTCCTGAGCGGAGTTGGGGGGCAGGATGTCCTCCTGTGAGAGCCACTCCACCTTGCAGCGCTGAATCGGGGGGACCCGGGGATAGGGAGTTGGAGGAGGGGCAGATTGGTCCTCCCTGGGAGTCTCTGCCTCCCCCTGGTACAGACGAGAGTGTTCACTGATCAGTACGGACATCAGGTGCTGCACCTGGGAACTACCTGCAAGATGGAATAAAAAGCAAACCATTATTTACAGGATTTATATGTAGCCCTTTTCCAGTGTGGGATTCTAGCTTGAAATATACTTTTGTATATTGTATGTTACCATACTAGAACTTATTGATTACTTTACATGTATAAGGAATGTATATTGTTGGGGTCAATGGAGGGGGGATAAGAACGAGGTGTATGGAAAGTTACTGAGTGAGGAGGGGGGAGTGCAGAAAGTTTACATTCTGTCAAAACATTATATTGGCTCCTAAGGAGGGAGGCAAAGGGCAACAGTCTGGTTTCAGTCACTGATAAGGTAGGACAGCCGTGGATTAGGGAGGAGCGAGGAATTTGGCCCGAGGTCAGGTCAGATGAAGTGAGAAGGAACAGTCCTATCCCACACACATATATTTCCACGCCCACAAAGTTTCTAGCATGAGGCAGGGCCATGAATACACCAGTGAGAGGAACCAATTAAGTTCCTGACTAGCAACAGAGATGTATTGGCTGTCTAGATGTGCAAGGAGTTGACTCCTCCTAGTAGTAGGGTATAAATATATGTGCTTGTGTAAACATGTCTTTGTCTTTGCAGCTGTTTGACCCAGTGGGTTAATAAACTTTGTATGAGCTTTTCCTAGTGGTCCGTTTGAGTTTTTACTCTGTTTGTTCAGAACCTAACACCAGAAAATGAAAATGCTTTCTCCAGCCTCATCCCTCAGATTATAGCAAAAAAGTGGCAGGGCTGTGGTTGGCTGAGAAATAAATTACATATATTGGCTTTAAACTCTGTTTAAACAATGCATCCTTCTCACTGATATTGTAAAATAAAAGTTCAAACTTAAATTGCACTTTACAAATCCCCTCTATGTGAAATGTTACGGTTAGTTTGCTCATAGCACGTGTGTCATTAGAGAGACAAATGCGCTGGTATCTACCCTCCATTATGATTTGTGGGTCCTCCATCTTGGGACGGAGGATGTTGGGTCCGAACACAGTGGCCAGGTTCTGAACACTCATCTTGTTCTGACTTGAGTGGGACTGGACCTCATCTAGGAATCTATAGTGCACATACACACATGCACACATGCAAGCACACACGCACATATGCACGCACGCACACACATATAAAGGCTGGTAAGAATAAAACACAGAGGAGAAAAATAAATAGCCCCCTGAAGCAACATTTTATTTCCTCCAAGATTGTCTGAATATCTCAACTCTTGTATGTTCAGTATGATTCAGACTTGAGACAGACACAGTATGAGAAGTGGTGGTGAGTCATGCTGTTGGCACCGCCTGTGTCATCTGACACATTTTGCTGCCTCAGCTGCCTGCTGATGCCATTACACATCTATTTATAGTGTTACACGATGTCATTAACCCTTTAACTGGCACACCAAGAAAAAAATATCTGAACAATTATTGTTCTGCAAAATATGTGTATTTAGCCTCAATATAGGCCAGAAATGAATCATGTTTGTTTGCATGACTTAAACTTTGATAGATAACACATCGCAAACATCTCAACTAGCAGGTTGAGCTGCCCAATTAGAGTAAACTGTATTGGAAAATGTTTTAAGTAATAAAAAAATAATACATTAATTTACATTATGTCTGCTTAATTGACTTATGATGGAAGATAAGTTTAGTTAAATGAGGATATCAAATATTAATAAAATATGCTACATTTGTGTCAAAATATGAATATTCAAATGCATGTAAATGTATGCGTTTACAGTTTATATGCTTAGAATACCAGTAAAATGACATATACTGAATGATATTATGAATCATATTGAAGATAACAGGCATACAGTAAATAATTATATGGATTTGAAAGGTTTTTTGTATTTGCACAGACAAAGAAAATCCCATAACAATATGTCTTTATTGCCCATTATCACTAGCTTTGACTTAATAGCATTCCTTTAATGGGCAACTCAACCGCCTGGTAGTGCATATTTTCACCTGCAGATGTATCTGAGGAGGTTGTAGTTGACCTGAGGAAGAGTCTTCACCTGCCTGCCCAGCTCAAGGATCCCCTTCAAAAAGACAAAGTCCCTATATCATTATTCATTAGGGTTTGAATGAGAACATTACTACTTTGAAAAGGGGCATATGTGTGTCACATGTGCACACACACACAAACGCACACACACACACACACCTCCTCCTGGTCCTTGGCCAGTAGCTGAGCGGTGGAGAGGAACTCTGTGTATTTGTTGAAAGGCACCACAGGCTCTGGCAGCTCTCTGAGGTACAACTTCAGCAGGGACGCCACCGTGTGGACATCAGTGTTACTGCAGGACAGGTCAGGGGTCAGGGTGAGAAGTCACGACAATTCAGGGTCATAAAATGTGTTTTCCTCTTTACATTATAATATTTAGATAATCTGTATCTGTAGATAACCTGTTAAACATAAGAATTATGACTGATTTACAACACAGCCCCTCTACCTGTCTGTGTTCTGTTACAGTATGTTGTGTTTTACATTGTGATATTCTGTGTTACCTTTAAAGGGAAAGTTGATGTAAAGGGAAAGTACTTCTCCTACCTGTCAAACAGTGGTTTCTCCCCGCAGTTAAAGGCGTCCTGCAGCTCTCGTACGTGATTGGTTTGTCCAGGCATTCTGAACAGCCCCTCCTCTGTGAGGCCATTCTGGTGTATAAAACATACACACTGCTGCACCAGCAGAGGCACCAGAGGCTTGCTGCTGCTGCCACACCCACTCTCACACTGCATTGTCTCCTCTAAATGCTGTCCAAAAATACCTAGAGCAAATTCCAAGGACACACACACAGGCACGCAAGCACGCATGCGCACACACACGCAATCAACTGGCTCTTACAGGACGTTTGTGTGTGTGTGTTTTCTGTGTGTGCACGTGTGTGTCTGTGTGTGTATTTGTGTGTGTGTGTGTATGTGTGAGTATGTGTACGAGCATGTGTGTGTTTGTGTGTGCATGTTTGCGTGTGTTACCTCCTCCTAGCGGGGCCCATATAGCTCTTCGTATGGCTCTGACCCATTCCTCCATGTCACTCTGCGACTTAGCCATCAACAGGAAAGACTCGCTCAGACCTGAACGATCCTTCTCTCCACTGCCTCCTGCAAACACACACACACAACCTGTGTGAGCAACCAACATGACGCCAACAGTGTACATTTAAACACTTCATCTTCAGTCTGTGAGGGGATTTAAAAACAACGCATGAACCACTAGCATCAAGTATGGCAGGTGGAAATTGATTCTGTGTGCGTAGTACATTGTCATTGGTAACTATATGCAGAGTGCACTGTTGAGTCTTCATGAGCACAGCGCTTGTCTTTAGCAATGATGCCATCTACATAGTACGTTATTATTGGTATTGTCAGTGTCATCATGCAATGCTCTGTGCTTATGTGCCATACAAAGAGCCTTTAACAGTGGTGCTCATCAATCTTTGTAGACCACTAGATGTTGGTGGTGGAACTATGCCAGTGATATCGTGAACCATCAGATCCTCCTCTCCACCTTCTCAGGGCTGGGCGTCTCAGGCTCTGCACACTCTTGGATTGCATCCTACCTGGCTGGCGTGGAGAGGATCTGTGTCTGCACCACGTACTCTCACTACTGGTGTCTTCCAGCCTCGATTCTAGGCCCTCTCCTCTTCTCTTTATAAACCAAGTCACTCTGCTCCGTCATATCCTCACATGGTCTCTCCTATCATTGCTATGCGGATGACACTCAACTACTTTTCTCCTTCCCCCCTTCTGACATCCAGGTGGCGACACGCATCTCTGCGTGCCTGGCAGATATCTCAACTTGGATGTCGGCCCACCACCTCAAGCTCAACCTCGACAAGACGGAACTGCTCTTCCTCCCGGCTCTCCCTCCTCTACCATCTGGACTACTTCAACTCGCTGTTGGCCGGGCTCCCTGCTTGTGCCATCAAACCTCTACAACTTATCCAGAACACTGCAGCCCGCCTGGTTTTCAACCTTCCCAAGTTCTCTCATGTCACCCCACTCCTCCGCACAGTCCACTGGCTTCCAGTTGAAGCTCGCATCCACTACAAGACCATGGTGCATATCTATGGAACAGTAAGAGGAACTGCCCCTCCCTACCTTCAGGCTATGCTCAAACCCTACACACCAACCCGAGCACTCTGTTCTGCCACCTCAGGTCTCTTGGCCCTCCCACCCCTACGAGAGGGCAGCTCCTGCTCTGCTCAGCCCAGTCCAAGCTCTTCTCTGTCCTGGCACCCCAATGGTGGAACCAGCTTCCCCCTGAAGCTATGACAGCAGAGTCCCTGCCCATCTTCCAAAAACATCTGAAACCCTACCTCTTCAAACTTATTTTAAATAATCCTCCTCCTCACCTCGACCCCCCCCCCCCACCCCAAAAAAAAATACTTAACCAGCACTTGCACTTGACCCCCCCTAATGCCTGTGATATGGGGTTGTCCCACCTAGCTATCTTAAGATGAATGCACTGTAAGTCGCTCTGGATAAGAGTGTCTGCTAAATGACTAAAATATAAAATGTAAGATATTCTGCTCCTAACATCTATCTATTATTAGATACTACAGGGCATGGTTAGTCCTGTCTGTCTATATGTATGGTGTCAAATCGATCTCTAAAGTCGAGCACGTGCGAGATGGCGCTGTCAAGCAAGATGAAACATTATTGAGCAAGCAAACACTGAGTCGAGAGCGCAGAGGATGTGTTCCACGAGTGCACAGGCAGCAGGGGGCACGCAAATTAAACTTGAGTTGCACTTGCAAGTGTCACTTTGAGTGAGCAGAACATTATTGCAACACGCAAAATATTAATTATAGAGCAGAGATTTTTGTTTTGTTTTGCAGATACTTACTAAACGTCAAGACTCAGAAGTTACGGCGCTCTCACAAATACATCGCATCCCCACATGGATTTCTCATCTCACACCAAAAAATCTACTTTTACTATTATTTTATTACAGGTGAAAATTCTAGACAATGAATATAGCCTGTAGCATTCAACTGAAACGCAATTTGTCAGGTTTCTGGACCAATCACAGCTTGACTGCTCTCTAACCTAATTTTTGACGGTGAAAGGCAACGTGATGGTGGTGAAGTAGCCTATGCGGAGTCTCCAGAAAACACTAACATCTGGTTTTCAGGGGTACAGTATTTTCAACCTATGTTCCGTTTCCCCTGAAAAATGGGGAAACTCGGCTCAGGCATCTTTCTATGCATGCTACGTTAAGTCAGTGGTGAAGTAGCGTTAGGGACGATGGCCAACGATAAAAATGTAAGCTCTATTGTTTTTCAGTAGAGAAACTAGCTAACCAACCAACTAGCTAATCAACTAGCTATGATTTCAATATTGAAATTTAAGTAGGTTGTTATTTGGTCTTCTGTTATTAAAGCAGGCTATTGATTATGCAAGCTAGGTTAGTGTCAGCTAGCAGCTAGCTAGGAAGCTAACCACATTTAAAAGTTACGGTATCTTCGCTAGCTATGTTAGCGAGGAGTTAGTAGAGAAGGAGAACTTGGAAGACCAGCATGACTGGCAGTGAGTGGCGGAGAAGGGAGAGGCAGGGTGAGAACAGATAGGGAAGGCCCTCACTGGGGAAAAGGCCCTTGATTGAGATGGCGTGAGTAGTCCAAGGGCCACCCATCAAAAATGTGTTGTTCCGTGACCCAAGAAATTAAACTGCAAAATGTCAACAAGATTATGTAAATAATGGTATGAACATGAACACTGTCTGTTTCAAAACTTTTAAAAGTTGCACATTAACTTTTAATCTTCAATCAAAGTTATGATATTTAGCATCGAAATCACAGCGCATCTTGGGTAATTGCCCTTGTAATGTTCCGACGTTGCTATGTTTCACCTTGGTTACTTTTGTTGCACACTGGCGCACAGAACACAGAACTATTTGTGCGTTGGGTGTTCGTCCTTGCATAAGCTCAAGGAACTTCACTGATCCAGATGAACTCCGAAATGGGGAAATATGTTTTAACCATGTATAGTGGTTTTCTCAGTTACTGTAAGAAGTTTTGGCAGCTGTATTTAGCCTACAAGGGCCATCATTTATTTTGCATGCTAACCAAATAAAATTAATTGTTTGTTAAAACATGTCCCGACAGCTACATCCAGCACTGTTCTGGCATAGGAGAAAAATAAATGTAGCACCTTTCAACAGCTTCTTATCTTATATTATCTTATATTAAATGTAGCACCTTTCAACAGCTTCTTATCTTATATTATTTGTATGCACCGGACCTCTGGTCCGGTGCATACATTGCTTTCTGCAAGAATGGACAATGGAACGTGTGTAAAAATTGTAACCAAGGTGTAACATGGCAAGTTGGCAACCTCATAATGTTGCCGGGGTAATTACCCAAAATGCGCTATGATTTCGAAATTGTACCTTTGATTTATAATATTTAATTAATGTGCAACTTTTACAAGTTTTGAACCACAATGTTCATATTCATAAATGTATCTACGTAATGATGTTGAAACTTTGCAGTTTTGCTTCCTGGGTCATGGAATGCCTTTTCTGAACCCTTTTTTGGTGGGTGGCCCTTGGACTAGAGGGGGAGCCAAGAGAGATCAAGCTCTGAACTAAATAGCCAATATTGTAAACCGCTAAATGCATACTTTGAGATAGTCTATTTGAAATACAGATTGGATTACTTTTACTGTGGTAGTTATTGTGCAGTTACAATAAAAGAGATTGACCTCTAACCATCTCTCTCTCTCTCCACACAGGCCTACTTTCACTATGTGGTGGGGAAGTTGTTCTCTGCTTATCTGACAGAGATAGGAGTCACAGGAGTCCATTATTTTCCAAGTACCTTGGCTTTCCTCTATGCACCGCACTCTGGGGACTTCCTGCAGGTAACCATGACTTCTATCAATCACCCCCATAACTTAATCATTAGTGGTACTGAGAGTTCCTCTAATTGCTTTGACACGGTATGGAGGCATTGTTATAGAGGAAGACAGGTTTAAACGTTCGAATCAGTTCTGGCCTTGCGTCCAAGGCAACAGCTTCGGTCCCGCCCACAAAGGGTAAAGAAAAGTGAATCTCTCATTGAAATGCATTCATTTTAGTGCTGCCTTAAATGGCTTAAAATATAAGATTTTTATATAATCATGTATTCCTTCTAAAACCGAGTTAATGCCTGACTTGTGATGTGCAAGCTAGTGATGGGGAAACTAAGCTTCCTGAAGCATTTAGCATTTCCAGACAATTGTGTCAGTTCATTACTCAAGGCTTTGATCAACACAGTGTATTCTAGTGGCACCTGCTGGTCAAAATAATTTAGAACAGCCAAATTATTATAGATGATGTCCCACATGCCGTAGCACGTGCGCAGTGTAGCCTTTTTGTCTTCTACCGAAACCAATACCAAACCAATAAGGTGGTTGTTCGACGAAACAAAGCTTCAGATGTCATTGATTACGTGCTTCTGATAAAGCGATAAAAGCATCGGCACACTGCTTAAAAATAAACTGCTTAGCGATTTCGATGCATACCTCGGAGCTCCGGAATCAAACGTAACATCACTAGTGCGAGCAATCAAGTCGATTCTTTAAAAAAATGTCATTTCTACCACTTATTTAAAGCTACAAAGCCAAGGTGAAGAAATGGCAATTCAATACAGGCTAGAACAACAGCATGCCATGCGGGTGTCCCGTGCTACTGTAAAAAGGCACGAAAAAAGGCATGACATTGGCTTTAATGAGTCATGGTTGAGTATTGCTCTGTTCAAGTAGGCTGTGATTTTGCTGTGGTCTGATAGGGGTGTCAGTGGGCTGACTGTGAACGTTCTGACAGACTCTGGTTTGAGGTCTGTGATAAAGTAGTCTACAGTACTGCTGCCAAAGGATGAGCTGTAGTTGTACCTACTGTAGGAGTTCCCTCGAAGCCTACAATTGACTATGTACAGACCAAGTGTGCAACAGAACTGCAGGAGTTGTGACCCGTCTTTGTTGGTTATATTGTAGTTTTGTGTAGGGGGGCATATGGGGAGGGAATGCTGTCACCTCCAGGTAGGTGTCCCCCCCTGTGTGCTGAGAGTGTCAGGTTCTTGTCCAGTTCTGGCATTTAGGTCACCACAGACTAGTACATATCCCTGGGCCTGGAAATGGTTGATCTCCCCTCTCTAGGATGGAGAAACTGTCTTCATTAAAGTATGGGGATTTTTTTTTTTTTTTACATTTTTTTACATTTTTAGTCATTTAGCAGACGCTCTTATCCAGAGCGACTTACAGTTAGTGAATACATATATATATTTTTTTTATACTGCCCCCCCCCCCCGTGGGAATCAAACCCACAACCCTGGCGTTGCAAACGCCATGCTCTATCAACTGAGCTACATCCCTGCCGGCCATTCCCTCCCCTACCCTGGACGACGCTGGGCCAATTGTGCGCCGCCCCATGGGTCTCCCGGTCGCGGCCGGCTGCGACAGAGCCTGGTTTCGAACCAGGATCTCTAGTGGCACAGTTAGCACTGCGATGCAGTGCCTTAGACCACTGCGCCACTCAGGAGTATACTGGGGATATACACTACATTACCAAAAGTATGTGGACACCTGCTCCTCTGAAGTCTCATTCCAAAATCATGGGCATTAAAATGGAGTTGGTCCCCCCTTTGATGCTATAACAGCCTCCACTCTTCTGGGAAGGCTTTCCACTAGATGTTGGAATATTGCTGCAGGGACTTGCTTCCATTCAGCTACAAGAGTATTAGTGAGTGCGGGCACTGATGTTGGGTGTTCCAATTCATCCCAATAGTGTTCGATGGGGTTGAGGTCAGGGCTTTGTGCAGGCCAGTCAAGTTCTTCCACACCGATCTCGACAAACCATTTCTGTATGGACCTCGCTTTGTGCACGGGTGCATTGTCTTTGTGAAACAGGAAAGGGCCTTCCCCAAATAGTTACCACAAAGTTGGAAGCACAAAATCATCTAGAATGTCATTGTCATACTGTAGCATACATTAAGATTTCCCTTCACTGGAACTAAGGGGCCTTCCCCGAACCATGAAACACAGCCCCAGACCATTATTCCTCCTACACCAAACTTTACAGTTGACACTATGCATTGGGGCAGGTAGCATTCTCATGGCATCCGCCAAACCCAGATTCGTCCGTCAGACTGCCAGATGGTGAAGTGTGATTCATCACTCCAGAGAATGTGTTTCCACTGCTCCAGAGTCCAATGGCAGCGAGCTTTACACCACTCCAGCCGATGCTTGGCATTGCGCATTGTTGATCTTAGGCTTGTGTGCGGCTGCTCGGCCATGGAAATCCATTTCATGAAGCTCCCGACGAACAGTTATTGTGCTGACGTTGCTTCCAGAGGCAGTTTGGAACTCGCTAGTGAGTGTTGCAACCGAGGACAGATTTTTACGCGCTACGAACTTCAGCACTTGGCGGTCCTGTTCTGTGAGCTTGTGAGGCCTACCACTTCGCGTTTGAGCCGTTGTTGCTCCTAGACGTTTCCACTTCACAATAACAGCACTTACAGTTGACCGGGGCAGCTCTAGCAGGGCAGAAATCTGACGAACTGACATGTTGGAAAGATGGCATCCTATGATGGCACCACGTTAAAAGTCACTGAGCTCTTCAGCAAGGCCATTCTACTGACAATGTTTGTCTATAGAGATTGCATGGCTATGTGCTCGATTTTATACACCCATCAACAACGGGTGTGGCTGAAATAGCCGACTCCACTAATTTGGGGTGTCCACATACTTTTGAATATATAGTGTAGGTAGCACACAGGAGGATATTTTTTCTCTGTGGAGATAATTGCCTTATTTATAGATATAAAATGCTCCTGATTTGACTCATTTAATAGAATGGGTTAGATCTGATCTATAACAAATAACCCCCTGAGTCCATTCCCTGTTTCACTCAGGGGTAGTTTGGTGGATGGGACTACCAGCTCTCTGTAACTTAGAGGGCAACCAGTGGGTCCATCTCCTCTATACCATGTTTATTGTAGAATAACAATGTCTGTATTTCTGATTTCTTTAAGTCCGGGTTCCTGCTATAACCATTCGTGAGTTGGGGAAAGTGGAAGTAGCTTTTTTAATCACTCCCTTGAGTGTTGTGGTCACCCTTTCCTGCTGTGCTATCAGGTCATTTGTGCCTGTGAGAATTATTATGCAGCTGGATGACCCTAGTTGGTCCTCAGACAGTAGGTCTAGGGCATGCTGGGTGTTTAGGGGAAAAGTTTATTTGATTATATGTATTTCCCATTTGAGTCCAAAAGGAGTACAATCTGTGGCTTTTGTATGTCCTCAGTGGGTGTGGGGTGGTTGTCAAGAGGGCTATCAATGGGGCTGATAGGGGCGGGTCTCCTGGGTTGATGGTTCTTCATTTATCTGTCCTGCTGTGGTGTCGAGGCTGTGGTCAGGATCTGAGGTGGACTGTTTTTCATTTACATTTTAGTCATTTAGCAGACGCTCTTAGCCCATAGATTTTGTTGTAATGTTTGAGTCACTCAAATATCACATGAATAAACACTAGACATGGCAAAATGTATAGAATTGCAAGAAAATGAGCTTTAAAACTGCAACATTTACTCTGCACCCCAATGACAAAATGTATAGAATTCCAGGAAATAAGCTTTCAACCTGCAAAATGTTCTCTGCACCAACAAGAGGGTTGTGAACAGTTTGTGTCATGAACAGTGCTTGTGCTCATAGAAATAGACGTGGTGCGCGCACACACACAGGGGGGGCCCAGGAGTTTCCCCAATGCTGGAAGGAGGGCCTGAGTGAAACATTTTAGGCACCCCTGAGCTAGAACACACATACACCACAGCCAAATGTCTGAGTGAATACAGTAGCAGAGAAAAGCAACAAGATTCAAGGTAAAAATAACCCAGATTAAAGAGATTGATTTGGATATTCTGTCATGGATTATTTGTGAAATTATCAACATCGTCATAATACTGCATTCCTGAAAGTTCTGTCAGAGACACATGCAACGCCCAGCAGTAAATAGACAAAGGGTGTGATTATGTGTGTGTGTGTATTCGTTTTTTGTATGCATGTGTGGGGTTGTGCGCGTGCGTACATTTGTGTGTGTGTGTACTTCCACCATACCACCATGCCTACCCTGCCATGGTTACAACATAACTAAATAGATTCCTTGTTGGAGTGTCTGTTTGACATCTTGTTCATGTAATGCAAGTTCTGTTTCACTCAACAAAGTATTGAGTGTATTATGCACTGCACAACATATTTTCTGTTCTTTACCCCCTTTTTCTCCCCAATTTCAATTTTGTCTCATCGCTGCAACTCCCCAACAGGCTCGGGAGGCGAAGGTCAAGTCATGCGTCCTCCGAAACATGACCTGCCAAACCGCGCTTCTTAACACCCGCCCGCTTTACCCGGAAGCCAGCCGCACCAATGTCTCGGAGGAAACACAGTTCACCTGATGACCGTGGTCAGCCCGCAGGCGCCCGACCCGCCACAAGGGGTCGCTAGAGCACGATGAGCCAAGTAAAGCCCCCCCCGGCCAAACCCTCCCCTAACCCGGATGACGCTGGGCCAATTGTGCGCCGCCCTATGGGACTCCCGATCACGGCCGGTTGTGATACAGCCCGGGATCGAACCTGGGTCTGTAGTGATGCCTCTAGCACTGCGATGCAGTGCCTTAGACCGCTGCGCCACTCGGGAGGCCACTCCACAACATATTAACCAAGACCGATAGATTTCTAGTCTGAGAACAGCTATGCTATCCAGAGTTCCCTGAAAAACTCCATAATTTCATAAATCAGGCTTTACCTGGGTCATGTTCAGTATAGGGTAACAGTAGCAAGACATTTTGCAACGGCTAACACAAATGAGTCCTTCTTATTCGATAAGTTCAAGAAGTACCTCTCCATTTCACTGTTTAATTTTTTTTAAATCCTGTTTCCTTCCTACGGAACACCACCCAGAGTTCCATTACAACACACAGAAGTTAAACCAATTGAAGTCATAAACTGTTCTCTCTGCTACCCCACGGCAAGCGGTACCAATGCACAAAGTCTAGAACCAACAGGACCCTCAACAGCTTCTAACCCCAAGCCATAAGACTGCTAAATAGTTAGATATATAGTTAATCAAATAGCTACCCGGACTATCTGCATTGACCCTTTTTGCACTAACTTTTTTTATCATCACATACGCTGCTGCTACTCTATATTATCTGTCACTTTATTCCTAGTTTTATGTACATATCTCCCTCAATTACCTCGTACTCCTGCACATCGACTCTGTACTGTTACCCTGTGTATATAGCAAAGTTATCATGACTCGTGTATTTATTGTACTTTTGTTAAGATGCGTTTTAGTTTTCTATTATTTCTCTATTTTCTTTCTCTCTGCATTGTTGGGAAGGGCCCATAAGTAAGCATTTCACTATTAGTTTTCACCTGTTGTTTACGAAGCATGTGATGAATACAATTTGATTTGATGTGAACCAGGAAGTGCATCATCAGAGGGAGGGTTTAGATGTCTCCATGGTTACTTACCTGGAGCAATCTCAAACAGGTGGCGACCAGCTTCATCCTGATTGGCCGACAGCTCACTGACCTGACTGCCCTGGAGAAGGATGCATCCCTGAGAGAGAGAGAGAGAGAGAGAGAGAGAGAGAGAGAGAGAGAGAGAGAGAGAGAGAGAGAGAGAGAGAAGAGAGAGAGAGAGAGAGAGAGAGATACAGAGGAGAGACAGAGAGAGAGTAGAGAGAGAGAGAGAGAGAGAGAGAGAGAGATATAGAGAGAGACAGACAGAGAGACAGAGAGACAGAGAGACAGAGAAAGGAGAGAACACAGTGTTAAAGGTAAAGCATTGTGTAGTTTGGAATAACCAAACAGAAACATTACTTAACTCTCTGTTTGAAATGGGAATCACTTAGAGCACAGGGAAGGAAGACGTGCTGTGCATGACAAACATTACAGAAATGTTACGAAACATTGTAGACTCCATCGTCTCCTTTAGTCTTGGCAGAAGTCCAACTGAGGGAGTAATGAAGGTAGAGAGATGGATTACTCAGGAAAACATCCCTCAATCCATTTATCCCTCTGCCTCTCTGCCTCCCCTTCCATCTCTCTCCCCGCATTACCATCCCCGCCAGTATGGGCAGGTCCAGGGTCAGATACTGTACTAAACACTCTGACTTACAACCCAACCCACCCAGAGTACAACCAGTTATCGCATTAGCAGTCAAACAGTCAGCAACTATACGGCCCGCAGATCCGGAATGGAGGACCAGTAACCCCATTAACAGTTACATAGCCAGTGTGGCATGGTAACTAGGCACACAGGAGCCAGAAATGAGGAGCCAGAGATCGACTGGCTCGAGAAGAGACTTACATGGAGATCCAACAGAGTGAGTTTCCTGCTTCTGATATTAGATAATATATTATTAACACATTTAAAGAGTATAATACAGTCCTGATATATGTATAATGACTTGAAAGTGTCCTGAATATGTGCATTAAACTATAGTGTAGTATACCTGAGGTTTAGTCTCATCCTGGTCCTTATAGAAGTACAGTGCTTCAGTCTGGAGAACGAACCACTGTAGCTGCCAGTTCCTCATGATGCTCCTCTGTCTCTTCAGCCAGCCGGCCTTCAGCGCCATCTCCTGGCCTAGAGCAGAACTGCAGCGGCCCAGTACCATGCTCTTGGAGCGGGCTGGGGAGTTAGAGATGGGGGGGAGGGGAGAGAAAGAGAGAAACATGAACACAAACACATATAACCTATATACGGACACACACATACGCATGCACAGACAAACACACGCACGGATGCACGCACACACACCATCCCAAATCATTATTCGCTGAGGTCCCTATGAGAACAGTCTGATTCCAGCGTCTGAGCCACGCATGCTGATTTATCCATTACTACCTGGACCAGTCTATTGTCAGGGATGGACAACCATCCTGTAGAGCTACTGGGTGTGCAGGCTTTTGCTGTAGCCCTGCTCTAACACACCTGATACAGCCAATGGAGCAGATGATTATAGGATCAGGTATGTTAACATAAGGTTGAATAGAGGTCCTATGTATCTCTCCAACAGCTCAGAACAACCATAACAGACTGATTAAAGGATAAATTACACTTCAGACACTGGTGTATCGGATAAACCTCAGTGTCAGGCTGAGAGAGAGAGAGAGAGAGAAAGAGGGAGAGCGAGAGCGAGAGAGAGAGAGAGAGAGAGAGAGAGAGAGAGGAGACAGAGAGAGAAGAGTGAGAATCAATTATTTCTATTTTTCTTGTTAATTGCGTCCCTGTTTCTGCTGAGGACAGCAGGGGGAACATTGGCTGAGCTCTCTCTCTCTCTCAGCATCTCTCGCTCTCCACCTCTCTCCTGTATTTTGCAGAGTCATGATCGCAGTAGATGACGTGTATTAAGTCCAGTCATTGACAGAGTGGTCTATTGAGCCCATGGGGAAGTAGAGAGACTCCAGAGGGTCTATAAATGCAGAGGTTATGGTCTGGTCTCATATACATATTTTAACTGGAACATACTTGCATAGAGGAGGAACTGACTATTTTGTTTGCTCCTCTAAATGATATACTGGATCAGGTTTGGGCCATTCTTAAATGACAGTATTTCACAACACATTTGGTAGGTCAAATAACCACTGATCACAATCTTTTCAAGTAAAACCTTCTTCAAATAACAGCTATCTGGAAAATCAGTGCTAGTGAGAGTGTGAGTGGATGAACGACAAGTGCAAGAGTTAAGTGGTAGTAGACAATGCAGTCTGTGCCTAGTCTCAGTCTTGTGATTTAGCCTCCATATCCATGTCCATCCAGTCATGCATGAGGTATGTCACGCTGAGGGTAGGTCTGCCTGCCCATAGGCCTGGAGCTGTCTACAGTTATTAGTACCGTGTGAGAGGAACTATGTTTATCACTCAGCTGTTGTGATGGACACATTTAGCCCTGACAGTAGTAGTAAGCTGTGATATACAGCAGTAGTAACTACAATTAATCAACGGGAATAAATACAACATCTCAACTTAGTATGTACAGTACACTATGATCAGCGCCATCTTCTATTGAAATATAGAAATATCCTTCTAAGATAAATAAGAGGGCCAAGCAAGCATATCTTTCATTGATCAATAACTATAACTCCCTAGTGTGTAATTGTACACTGTAAGATGCAAATGTACAGTGCCTTGCAAAAGTATTAATCCCCCTAGGCATTTTACCTATTTTTATGCATTACAATCTGTAATTTAAATGGATTTTTATTTGGATTTCATGTAATGGACATACACAAAATAGTCCAAACTGGTGAAGTGAAATGAAAAAAATAACTTGTTTAAAAAAAAATCTACAAAATTAATAACGGAAAAGTGGTGTGTGCATATGTATTCACCCCCCTTGCTATGAAGCCCCTAAATAAGATCTGGTGCAACCAATTACCTTCAGAAGTCACATAATTAGTTAAATAGTTAAAGAATACGGGGTCCCCTGTAGCTCAGTTGGTAGAGCATGGCGCTTGCAACGCCAGGGTTGTGGGTTCATTTCCCACGGGGGGACAGTATGAAAAATGTATGCACTCACTAATTGTAAGTCGCTCTGGATAAGAGTGTCTGCTAAATGACTAAAATGTAAATAAAGTCCACCTGTGTGCAATCTAAGTGTCACATGATCTCAGTATATATACACCTGTTCTGAAAGGCCCCAGAGTTTACAACACCACTAAGCAAGGGGCACCACCAAGCAAGCGGCACCATGAAGACCAAGGAGCTTTCCAAACAGGTTGAGGGACAAAGTTGTTGAGAAGTACAGATCAGGGTTGGGTTATAAAAAAATATCTGAAACTTTGAACATCCCACAGAGCACCATTATTAAAAAATGGAAAGCATATGGCACCACAACAAACCTGCCAAGAGAGGGCCGCCCACCAAAACTCACAGACCAGGCAAGGAGGGCATTAATCAGAGAGGCAACAAAGAGACCAAAGATAACCCTGAAGGTGCTGAAAAGCTCCACAGCGGAGATTGGAGTATCTGTCCATAGGACCACTTTAAGCCGTACACTCCACAGAGCTGGGCTTTACGGAAGAGGGGCCAAAAAAAGCCATTGCTTAAAGAAAAAAATAAGCAAACACGTTTGGTGTTTGCCAAAAGGCATGTGGGAGACTCCCCAAACATATGGAAGAAGGTACTCTGGTCAGATGAGACTAAAATTGAGCTTTTTGGCCATCAAGGAAAACGCTATGTCTGGCGCAAACCCAACACCTCTCATCACCCAGAGAACACCATCCCCACAGTGAAGCATGGTGGTGGCAGCATCATGCTGTGGGGATGTTTTTCATCGGCAGGGACTGGGAAACTGGTCAGAATTGAAGGAATTATGGATGGTGCTAAATACAGGGAAATTCTTGAGGGAAACCTGTTTCAGTCTTCCAGAGATTTCAGACTGGGACGGAGGTTCACCTTCCAGCAGGAAAATTACCCTAAGCATACTGCTAAAGCAACACTCGAGTGGTTTAAGGGGAAACATTTAAATGTCTTGTAATGGCCTAGTCAAAGCCTGGACCTCAATCCAATTGAGAATCTGTGGTGTGACTTAAAGATAGCTGTACACCAACGGAACCCATCCAACTTGAAGGAGCTGGAGCAGTTTTGCCTTGAAGAATGGGCAAAAATCCTAGTGGCTAGATGTGCCAAGCTTATAGAGACATACCCCAAGATACTTGCAGCTGTAATTGCTGCAAAAGGAGGCTCTAGAAAGTATTGACTTTGGGGGGTGGGGGGGGGGGGGGGGGATTTCCCATAATGACAAAGCGAAAAAAATGTTTTTTAGAAATTTTACCAAATGTATTAAAAATAAAAAACAGAAATACCTTATTTACATAAGTATTCAGACCCTTTGCTATGAGACTCGAAATTGAGCTCAGGTGCATTCCGTTTCCATTGATCATCCTTGAGATGTTTCTACAACTTGATTGGAGTCCACCTGTGGTAAATTAAATTGATTGGACATTATTATGCACACACCTGTCTATATAAGGTCCCACAGTTGACAAGCCACGAGGTTGAAGGAATTGTCCGTAGAGCTCCGAGACAGGATTGGGGAAGGGTACCAAAAAATGTCTGCAGCATTGAAGGTCCCCAAGAACACAGTGGCCTCCATCATTCTTAAATGGAAGAAGTTTGGAACCACCAAGACTCTACCTAGAGCTGGCCACCCAGCCAAACTGAGCAATCGGGGGAGAAGGGCCTTGGTCAGGGAGGAGACCAAGAAGCCGATGGTCACTCTGACAGAGCTCAAGAGTTCCTCTGTGGAGATCGGATAACCTTTCTGAAGGACAACCATCTCTGCAGCACTCCAACAATCAGGCATTTATGGTGGAGTGGCCAGACGGAAGCCACTCCTCAGTAAAAGGCACATGTTTGCCAAAAGGCACCTAAAGGACTCAGACCATGAGAAACAAGACTCTCTGGTCTGATGAAACCAAGATTGGGCTCTTTTGCCTGAATGCCAAGTGTCACGTCTGGAGGAAACCTGGCACCATCCCTATGGTGAAGCATGCTTGGTGTAGCATCATGTTGTGGGGATGTTTTTCAGCGGCAGGGACTGGGAGACAGGATCGAGGGAAAGATGAATGGAGCAAAGTACAGAGAGATCCTTGATGAAAACCTGCTCCAGAGTGCTCAGGACCTCAGACTGGGGCGAATGTTCACCTTCCAACAGGACAACAACCCTAAGCACACAGCCAAGACAACGCAGGAGTGGTATCGGGACAAGTCTCTGAATGTCCTTGAGTGGCCCAGCCAGAGCCCGGACTTGAACCCAATCGAACATCTCTGAAGAGACCTGAATATAGCTGTGCAGCGACGCTCCCCATCCAACCTGACAGAGCTTGAGAGGATCTGCAGAGGAGAATGGGAGAAACTCCCCATATAAATGCATGCCAAGGTTATAGCGTCATACCCAAGAAGACTTGAGGCTGTAATCGCTGCCGAAGGTGCTTCAACAAAGTACTGAGTAAAGGGTCTGAATACTTATGTAAATGTGATATTTCTGGGGCGGGGGGAGTTTGTATACATTTGCAAAAAATTCTAAAAACCTGTTTTTGCTTTGTCATTATGGAGTATTGTGTGTAGATTGATGAGGGGGGGAAAATAATTTATTCAATTTTAAAATAAGGCTGTAACGTAACAAAATGTGGAAAAAGTCAAGGGGTCTGAATACTTTCCGAATGCACTGTATGTACAGTAAATCACCATGGATTCTATACACACTTTAAAAATAAAATCTAAATAGTGCCAAATAAGGGTTCTTTAGCTCATAACGATAGCAGAATTATCTTTGGTGTTAAAATAAACCTTTTTTTAAAGGTTCTACAAATGACCATGCTCAAAATGTGCTATATAGAACATTCATGGTGCTGTAAAGAACCCTTTTCTTAAAGGGGCTATCAGCAGTTGAAACAATAACAAAGTGTACTCCCCCGTTTCGGTAAAAAGCTGAGGGATGGGGCTGGAGAAATGTTATTCACTCTCAAATTCATAGACAGAGCTATGGATGCAAGGACTGACCATCCATGAATTCAATGTTATCGTTTTAACCATGTTTTGAGACTATAAAGTAGTTGTTTACATTTATGTTGTTTACAAACATTGGAGTAAAACAAGCTTATATTTGAGTTCTGATGGGTCTTTGAGTCATTATGGTTCCACATAGAACCATCAACCTTACCAAAGAACCCTTGAAGAACCCTTTTTTCTAAGTGTGTAACAGGAGTCATGCCTTGCATCATAAGACAGTCTAACCACTGATACTAACTATTATCAATTCCATAAACTTCATTGAGTCTAGCAGAGACTGGAAAAGAAAGAGCAGCTCATCGGATACTGTCTATATCATATCCAAGGAGATGCAATAATCATATCATCCATATACAGAAGTAAACTATCACACAGCCAAACCACTGAGAGATAAAGTGTGCTGCATGCATTATGGAGACACAGCTACTATCACAGTTGCAGAGAGAGTGAGACAGCAAGACTGGCATGCTGCTGAGATGCTGCAGAGAGAGAAAGAGGGGAGGAGAGGATGAAAGATTGTTCTTACCCCTGCGTGTCTGTCTGTTCTTAGGGCTAAGCATGGTTGTCATTGCAGTGCTAGTCCCATGTCTGGATCCCTTCGGTCTCTCCACACATGCACACCTACTCTCTCCTCTCACTCTGCTGCCTCGCCCTGTTGCTTATTTTCGAGGCACCACCCTTTCTCTACCCCTCTTTCTCTTCTGCACTGCCACTCACTCTCCTTCCGGGCTCTCTTTCCACTCTCCCTCTCTTTATCTGTCTCCTTTCCAGTTGCACTCTCTCTTCCTTCCTCTTTCTCTCTCCTTCCATCTTTCTCTCCCCCCCTTCTGTCTCTGTCTCACTAGCCCAGTGTACTTACAGCCCTGCACACTCTCCTCCTCACTGATAGAGAGAGCGAGAGAGAGAGAGCGCAAGAGAGAGAGAGAGACAGAGAGAGAGACAGAGAGAGAGAGAGAGAAGAGGGCAGAGGAGACGAGAGAGGAGAGAAAAGACAGAGAGAAGAGGAGAGGAGGAGGAGAGAGGAGAGGGAGAGAGCGAGAGAGGAGAGAGAGAGAGAGAGAGAGAGGAGAGAGAGAGAGAGAGGAGAGAGAGAGAGAGAGAGAGAGAGAGAGAGACGGAAGAGAGAGAGAGGGGAGAGAGAGAGAATGAGAGAGAGAGAGGAGAGAGAGAGAGAGAGAGAGAGAGAGAGAGAGAGAGAGAGAGGAAGACGACAGATCATCGAGAGACGAGAAGAGATGAGACGAGAGGAGTAGGAGAGAGATGAGAGAGAGAGAGAGAGAGAGAGAGAGAGAGATAGGTGTATATTTTTAGAGGGATACAGAGGTATAGCGAGGGATAGACATCTCCTGCACATGCTCAGTTCTAATATTACTCCTGCTGCATTATTCAGACAGACACAGATGGGCGCACACACACTCAAGCACATGCACACACACACACAATCACAGTTTGCCATAGTCCACTTCAGGTTACTAGCCAGGTATGCAAAACTATTCTACTCTTGTTTTCAGGTAAACCATTCACTAGCCTCCTGCACCAACTTTATTTCCACCAGTCTCCCTCAAAAAGCCAGCAACGCAGACGGGGACCTCAGCATGGAAAGGTACAACAGACACAGACAATTGAAAATACATTCAGTAAAAGGAAGAAAAGACTACCAATGCTGTCCATATCATTTTAGGACAGCAAATTCTGTGGAGACCAAACACTCTAGGTGTTGTTAGAACATAGAGCTGGTCATGTCTCTGTCTGTCCATGGGTAGAGTCCTGGAAAGGTTAATCACAGATACTGATCCATCTGTCTACTGCTCGGTACCACTATCTGGAATGCTGACCGGACACACAAACATTCAGAGTCAACACACACAGTGAGAGAGAGTGTGAGAAAAACTACAACAGAAAGTCAACAACTATCTCACACCATGACCCTCACTTACGGACAACACTGAGATGTATTCAGCAGCCTGAATGCTCAGTCGGTCAGTCATATAATTGATGATTGTAGAGAGAGACAATCAGATGATAATGATAGCGCTAATGCTATATACCCAGAGAGTTGACATCAGCACAACAGAGCAGTGATAGTCTGGAGCTAAAGGAGGCTATGCTCAGGACTGATGTTGCTAGGAGACAGAGACTATTACCTGCCATGTCATCTCAGACGGAGAGAGAGACGCCTGTCAGTCCTCAAGAGCTCACTGTGGAGACAGGAGACACACACATCGGCCTACACACATATACACATAGGCATCCACACACACAGAGAGAAACACACAGCTCGGACAGTGGTACAAAATGCAGACACAGGTCTTCACATAGTGGGGGGTCAGAATCATGTGCTGTGTGACCACGCTTCCTCTCTCTCTCAGGAAGTGAGAAGTCAGTATGGAGAAGTGAATGTGCAGACCTCTGGCTAAACACATGCTGGTTCCTCTGGGTATTAATATACAGCCCACAATGACAGTCATAGCATTTATATTCACATTTTCACATTTTAGTCTACGCCAGGGATGGCAAACCCCCATCTCCCTGGGAGAGTTACTGGGTGTGCAGGATTTAGTTCCAAGTCCAACCCTGCTCTTACACCTAATTCTAATCAGCTGCTCATCAGGATCTTGATGAGCTGAATCAGGTGTGTTAAAGCAGGACTGAAAAAAAAGCTTGCACATCCCATCGCTCTACAGGAGGAGGGTTGACCACCCCATGGTCACCATTCTTATAAGCTAAACCTGCAAACATAACAGTTAAGTCTGTTTTGAAAGAGAGGCGGAGTGGTCTGCGGTGATGGAAGCCGCTCAGCCGAGGCAGAGGAAAATAAGAATCTGCTCTGTATTTCAAGAGCCGCCATCGTTGTTGACCAATCACAATAGAAAACATAGCCTGCATGGTGATACGCCAGCACCAGTGGAGGCTCCTCAGAGGAGGAAGGGGAAGACCATCCTCTTCAGTGAATTTCATAAAAATAAAAATATTGAAACATTTAAAAAGTTATCCTTTTTTAGATAAAACTATACTAAATATATTTACGTCACCAAAAAATGTTTTAAAACACACTGTTTTGCAATGAAAGTTTACAGTAGCCTCAACAGCACTCTGTAGGGTAGCACAATGGTGTAGCCGGAGGACATCTAGCTTCCGTCCTCCTCTGGGTACATTTAGCGTACTCAAACACCCGGCTCAAACAGAGGGATGCTATGTTAGCTAGCTGGCTATGACTATCCAACACTGGAACTCTTCCAAGTCAAGGTAAGCTTTTGGTTTTACTAATTTATTGCCACTGGTCCCACCAGTGTAACTGCTAAACTGCTTACTGACTGTACACTGTACTGCATGATTGTAGTGGGTTTACTAACATTTTACTTCTAATAGCTACAGTATGTTGAGTATGACGTTGTTTAGCTAATATGGTGACAATGATGTAGGCTGTGTGTAGTTGTCAACGGTTATGATATGGTTTGGCTTGGAACCTTTTTTTCGCCTGGTTACAGACATCTGATGTGTTGTGCATTGAAGTCCACAAGCGAAGGGAAAAGGTGAGAGGAGGAGAGAGCATAGATGTGAGAAGGAATACAACGTGGCTGCTATGAAAGTGAACTGTGTTTACGTGTGATCAGGGGTGTATTAATTCCGCAGATTCTGTTGAATTTTTTTTCTTAAACGGAAGACAACGGAACGAAATGGGGATAAGTATACCTGAAAGTGGCCAATAGAAACTCTCGTTTGCAACTGTTGGACTAATGATTACACCCTAGATCAGCTAGATGTTTTTTTATTTTTTTATTTTTTTTTATTTAACCTTTATTTAACCAGGTAAGCCAGTTCTCATTTACAACTGCGACTTGGCCAAGATAAAGCAAAGCAGTGCGATAAAAACAACACCACAGAGTTACATATGGGGTAAAACAAAACATAAAGTCAAAATTACAACAGAAAAAATATATACAGTGTGTGCAAATGTAGCAAGTTATCGAGGTAAGGCAATAAATAGGCCATAGTGCAAAATAATTACAATTAGTATTAACACTGGAATGATAGATGTGCAAGAGATTATGTGCAAATAGAGATACTGGGGTGCAAATGAGCAAAATAAATAACAATATGGGGATGAGGTAGTTGGGTGGGCTAATTTCAGATGGGCTGTGTACAGGTGCAGTGATCGGTAAGGTGCTCTGACAACTGATACTTAAAGTTAGTGAGGGAGATAAGAGTCTCCAGCTTCAGAGATTTTTGCAATTCGTTCCAGTCATTGGCAGCATAGAACTGGAAGGAATGGCGGCCAAAGGAGGTGTTGGCTTTGGGGATGATCAGTGAGATATACCTGCTGGAGCGCATACTACGGGTGGGTGTTGCTATGGTGACCAATGAGCTAAGATAAGGCGGGGATTTGCCTAGCAGTGATTTATAGATGGCCTGGAGCCAGTGGGTTTGGCGACGAATATGTAGTGAGGACCAGCCAACAAGAGTGTACAGGTCATTTTTTTACAACAACGTCTTTCCAAGTCGGAAATTTCCAAGTTGTCTTGAAAGCTTCATAACTTGCCCACTCTAGCTATAGCTAGCTAGCTGGCTAACACTATCCATTTACAGAGTCAAGTTTACCAATAAAAATCTATTTTTGGATGAATAATTTCTGTTGCATGTAAATACATGTATGCATGCTTACCAGTGGAGGCATCCTACTTAGTGAATTTCAGAATATTTTTTATTTTTTATAAAACATTTAAAAAGTTATCCTTTAAGATAAAACTATACTAAATATATACTCAATATATTCACGTCACCAAATACATGATTAATTACATGACTTCAATACAAAACCTAGGAGGCTCATACTTTTCACCCCCTTCCATAGACCTACTTGGTAATTATGACGACTTCCAGAGGACGTCCAACCAATCAAAGCTTTTGCAGTATGAACTGACATTTTGTCCATCCAATCATATGAACAGATAATTAATCTAGTGTGGTGTATTGGGGTTGTGTTGCAGAGCATCATGGGTCCTATATGTGGAGAAGCTTGGTGAGTTGGTGACATTGTTGGATAGATAGAGATTGAGATAGTGATCGTTTTTGGGGGGATATTATTCAGTTCAAATTAGTTTCTTCAAACTACAGGAAACAAAGGAGGTAGATTATATACGCTACCAGTCAAAAGTTTTAGAACACCTACTCATTCAAGGGTTTTTCTTTATTTTTACTATTTTCTACATTGTAGAATAATAGTGAAGACATCAAAACTATGAAATAACACATATGGAATCATGTAGTATACAAAAAAGTGATAAACAAATCAAAATATAGGTGTTCTAAAACTTTTGGCCGGTAGTGTATTGTTTTCTTGGTTTTATAACTTTATTTATTTCAATTTGCTTTGCTAACTTTAGTAGCAAGAAGCTAGCTAGCTCCAGAGTGAAGTTTTCTCCACCAGAATGGCTTGCTAACGCTAACGGCAATTTAGTGCATTTTTTGTTGAAGAACCCCTTTCTTTGCCCAGATCAGATTCAAGCTTCTGTGAAAAAGCTGCATCGATCATGTAATGGACTAAGGTCTGCATATTCAAACTGCGCAACACAATGAGAAGGTAAGAATAAACTGGGAGGTTCTCAAGCAGCTTATCGACACTACTGTGTTTCTGGGCATGTAAGAGTTGGTTTTTAGGGGGCACGATGAGAGGGAAAGTTCCTCTAACAAGGGCAATTACAAGGAGCTTGCAGAGGAAATTGCACTTTACAATGCTTTACTTGCTGAGCATATGGAATTTTCTACTGTCTTCTCTGGGATGTCGAAAGCAATTCAGAATGATTTGATAGCTTTCATCGCATCATCCATTAAAAGTTAGATTAAAAGAGAGGTTGACTCAGTGCATTTTTTCGCATGGCAAATGGATGAAACCACAGACATCAGCTGTCGCTCGCAATTGGCAGTTATCATCAGGTATGTGGATGATCAGGGCTTTATTCTAGAACATTTCTTGGGCTACCTTGATATGTCAAGAGGGTGAGATGCGCAGTCTGTGTTTGACTTTGTGAATTCTCAGATGTCTGAGTTTAACTTAATGGAGAAACGTGTTGCCCAAACCTATGACGGCGCTGCTGTAATGGAATGTAACTGCTACTTGTATTTACAGCGGAGTAGCCCTGTCGATTTTCTCTCATTACTGTATGTAGAGCGATTTTATTTATTTTTAAATTTAATTTCCCTTCATTACCTTCCAACCCCACCACCCCTTCCCCAATTGGAGTAAACTAGTGAACAACAATGTTTAGGCCTCTACTTCCAGCCCATACATACTATATACATTTTATGGACACAGTCAAATTCTACAATAATTATATTTTGTTTGTTTTTACTCCTGAACTTCCTCCGATCATTTTCATGATGTCCATCTGGTTTGCTTCTATATGCCATATTTTTCTAACTGTGCTCTTTCAATTACAATTATTTGTATTACAGCTAAGTCCCCTCCTGTTCCCTGATTAAGCGATGATGGCCTCTCCACTCCCAGTGTCAACTCTCTCCTGACATGAACTGAAGCCATGTCTCATGTGTCCGGTCATCCATTGGCACATTGAATGCACTGTGAGTAGGCCAGTCAATTTTCTCTCATAACTGTATGTAGTCAATCAGATACACAAACACCATCACACTATTACACATCAATGTGATTTTTATCCTTGCTTGGACTAATTAATTCTTAGCTCTTTTGTCTAACTGTGTTGTGCTATTGATTTATGTCTTCCCAGTCAAATCCTGCCCTGCCCTCAGTGGAAGAGTTGAGCTCTTCTCCAACACCATCCATCCATGATGAGCCTGTCCTGCACTGAAGCCTCTGAACACCTCAAACCCTGTCCTGCACTGAAGTCAAGCCTCCGAACACCTCAACTCATGCCTCATTCAATCACTGCTGTGATATCTTCCCAACACTGTAAGTAGCCATCTCATTCTCATTCCCCATAATATTTTACTATACATGTCTTTAATAAATGTTTTAGGTTAAAATAATGTATCTTTGCTGATTTTTTAAACATGCTTTGTTGCTTCCGTGCGATCTGCATCTGTACCGTGGGTCTCCCATCCTCCTCAATTATTTAAATCACCAGCCTCCACTGATGCTTATAGTGTTATAGCTATTCACTTTTCGCACGTTGATAATGTTTGTTGATTTCGTTGCTATGGTCACCAGCAGCTGTCCAAGACAATAATCACATCATGACACATCCAATCCCCTCTGATCCTGGAAACTCAACCAGAACAACTCACCAATAAGACAGAGATAATTAACATTACATGATTTGATTGGCTAATGGAAAAGGACCAGCTGGAATGGAATGCCAGGAACAGAGGCGATGCCACGTCAGAAAATTGCTGCTGCTAGAATCCATAATCCGATTTAGGGAGTGTGTGTGTGTGTATGTGAGAGAGAGAGAGAGAGAGAGAGAGAGAGAGAGAGAGAGAGAGAGAGAGAGAGAGAGAGAGAGAGAGAGAGAGAGAGAGAGAGAGAGAGAGAGAGAGAGAGAGAGAGAGAGAGAGAGAGAGAGAGAGTAGAATGGATGTTAGGGAGAGATATACGTCTTCTGGCCTCCTCAACCTGTACAGACTGCTTTCTCCCACCTTAAACCCTCTGTATATAAAGCAGGCCATACAGAGGACATTCAATAATATTACATGCGACACAAATGGCTAAACCGCTCAGATACAGTGCCTTCGGAAAGTATTCAGACACCTTGACTTTTTCCACTTTGTTACATTACAGCCTGATTCTAAAATTGATTAAATAACAATCTACACACATTACCCAGTAATGACAAAGCGAAAACAGGTTTTTAGAAATGTTTGCAAATGCATAAAAAATTTAAAACAGAAATACCTTATTCAAATAAGTATTCACACCCTTTGCTATGAGACTCGAAATTGAGCACAGATGCATCCTGTTTCATTGATCATCCTTGAGATGATTCTACAACTTGATTGGAGTCCACCTGTGGTAAATTCATTTGATTAGACATGATTTGGAAAGGCACACATCTGTCTATATAAGGTTCCACAGTTGACAGTTCATGTCAGAGCAAAAACCAAGGCATGAGGTCGAAGAAATTGTTCGTAGAGCTCTGAGACAGGATTGTGTCGAGGCACAGATGAAGGGTACCAAAAACATTTCTGCAGCATTGAAGGTCCCCAAGAACACAGTGGCCTCCATCATTCTTAAATGGAAGAAGTTTGCAACCACCAAGACTCTTCCTAGAGCTGGCCGCCCAGCCAAACTGAGCAATCGTGGGAGAAGGGCCTTGGACCAAGAACCCGAAATGTCAATCTGACAGAGCTCTAGAGTTCCTCTGTGGAGATGGGAGAACCTTCCAGAAGGACAACTATCTCTGCAGCACTCCACCAATCAGGCCTTTATGGTAGAGTGGCCAGATGGAAGCAACTCCTCAGTAAAAGGTAAATGACAGCCCGCTTGGAGCTTGCCAAAAGTCACCTAAAGACTCTCAGACCATGAGAAACAAGATTCTCTGGTCTGATGAAACCAAGATTGAACTCTTTGGCCTGAATGCCAAACGTCACGTCTGGAGGAAACCTGGCACCATCCCTATGGGGAAGCATGGTGGTGGCAGAATCATGCTGTGGGGATGTTTTTCAGCGGCAGGGACTGGGAGACTAGTCAGGATCGAGGCAAAGATGAACGAGGCAAAGTACAGAGAGATCCTTGATGAAAACCTGCTCCAGAGCGCTCAGGACCTCAGACTGGGGTGAAGGTTCACCTTCCAACAGGACAACGACCCTAAGCACACAGCCAAGACAACGCAGGAGTGGCATCGGGACAAGTATCTGAGTGTCCTTGAGTGGCCCAGCCAGAGCCCGGACTTAAACATGATCTTATATCTCTGGAGAGACCTGAAAATAGCTGTGCAGCGACGCTCCCCATCCAACCTGACAGAGCTTGAGAGGATCTGCAGAGAAGAATGGGAGGAACTCCCCAAATACAGGTATGCCAGGCTTGTAGCGTCATATCCAAGAAGACTCTAGGCAGTAATCACTGCCAAAGGTGCTTCAACAAAGTACTGAGTAAAGGGTCTGAATACTTATGTCAATTTAATATTTCAGTGTTTTATTTTTTTATAAATTAGCAAAACATTCTACAAAACTGTTTTTGCTTTGTCATTGTGGGATATTGTGTTTAGATTGATGAGGGAAAAAAACAATTTAATCAATTTGATAACAAGGCTGTAACCTATCAAAATGTGGAAAAAGTCAAGGGGTCTGAATACTTCCCGAAGGCACTGTATTGACATTACCCGACTACACCACGCTTAGATGGATACTGAATCATCATCCTCTATAATCTAGCAATATGTCCCCATGGGATATTGAGGAAATCAGTGAGTAATTGAAGATGACTGGATGTGGTCTATTAGCAGTGCTGAGTCTTGGTTTCGCTACAGAGTAGGTCAGAGAGGTAACGACATGCTATTAGCCAATGCTAACATGTGTGACGAAGGTGGTTTTACATGGTGAACCACTCTTGCCTAATAAGTAACGTTGCCTGAGACCTGAAGACTTGTATTACCTCCCTGAGCTAATGCCTTTTTAGCTCAATGGGTTAACACAGCCATACTGGCATGCGATTAGCCAAATTACATTGTGCTTATAAGCTAAAGTCTAGTCACTGTTACCTATGGTTTACACCACCAATAACATAAAAGCATGCATCATCATTTCATCATATTTCACTTTTATTTAAGTAAAGAAAAGTTATAGTGGGAAGTATTAAACAAAACAGAGGTAACGTTTCAAGTGACCAAATAAACACAGTTTTAAAATACACCAACGCATGAAAATGTAAAACAGAAAGCTAACGCCACAGGATATACTGTAGTAAAATAGTGGAATCCTTCACAGGACAGAGCAAAATCAGTCAGTTATTCATAAACTATCTACATCGTTGCAGAAGTACTGTCAGCTATAAAATAGCTCAGAGCATCACATAGAAACTAGCTCTACATGTACTGTATACATTGGAAATGCTTACCAGGACATAGTGTTAAGTCAGTGCGTTATGTGAGGAGTGTGACATGTTGATTTGTTAGCTGGCAAGATTTCTGCATTCAGTATACTGTAGTCTATATATTAAAAGTATAATATTTCAATACCTATGTTCATGTATAAAGTTTAACAGACATGTTGACGACCACACTCCCAAAGACAATCTAAGGAACATGTTATCTCTAATGTTAAGATCTATTAGAACTAATTCTGGTCTACACACCACTTGTTATATGTTTAATAGCAGTATTAGCTTCTCAAGCTAATGCCTAGGCTTTAGCTCACCTTGCTAACAGTCTCACATATGATACAGTTGGTTTCAAGAATGGAAGTGCCTCCGGAAAGTATTCAGACCCCTTTACTTTTTCCACATTTTGTTACATTACAGCATTATTTTAAAATTGATTAAATTGTTTTTTCCCCCTCATCAATCTACACACAATACCCCATAATGACCAAGCAAAAACAGATTTTTAGAATTTCTGCTAATTTATCAAAAATACAAAACTGAAATATAACATATGATATAAGTATTCAGACCCTTTACTGAGTACTTTGTTGAAGCACCTTTGGCAACGATTAGATCATGGAGTCTTATTGGATATGATGCTACAAGGTTGGCACACCTGTATTTGGGGAGTTTCTCCCTGCAGACCCTATCAAGCTCTGTCAGGTTGGATGGGGAGCGTTGCTGCACAGCTATTTTCAGGTCTCTCCAGAGATGTTCGATCGGGTTCAAGTCCGGGCTCTGGCTGGGCAACTCAAGGACATTCAGAGACTTGTCTCAAAGCCACTCCTGCGTTGTCTTGGCATTGTGCTTAGGGTCGTTGTCCTGTTGGAAGGTGAACCGTCGCCCCAGTCTGATGTCCTGAGCGCTCTGGAGCATGTTTTCAACAAGGATCTCTCTGTACTTTGCTCTGTTCATCATTGCCTCGATCCTGACTAGTCTCCCAGTCCCTGCCGCTGAAAAACATCCCCACAGCAAAATACTGCCACCAACATGCTTCACCGTAGGGATGGTGCCAGGTTTCTTCCAGAAGTGACGCTTGGCATTCAGGCCAAAGAGTTCAATCTTGGTTTCATCAGACCAGAGAATCTTGTTTCTCATGGTCTGAGAGTCTTTAGGTGCCTTTTGGCAAACTCCAAGCAGGCTGTCATGTACCTTTTACTGAGGAGTGGCTTCCGTCTGGCCACTCTACCATAAAGGCCTGATTGGTGGAGTGCTGCAGAGATGGTTGTCCTTCTGGAAGGTTCTCCCATCTTCACAGAGGTACTCTAGAGCTCTGTCAGAGTGACCATCACCTCCCTGACCAAGGCCCTTCTGTTTTGGTACCCTTCCCCAGATCTGTGCCGCGACACAATCCTGTCTCGGAGCTCTACGGACAATTCCTTCGACCTCATGCCTTGGTTTTTGCTCTGACATGCACTGTCAACTGTGGGACCTTATATAGACCGGTGTGTGCCTTTCCAAATCATGTCCAATCAATTGAATTTACCACAGGTGGACTCCAATCAAATTGTAGAAACATCTCAAGGATGATCAATGGAAACAGGATGCACCTGAGCTCAATTTCGGGTCTCATAGCAAAGGGTCTGAATAATTATGTAAATAAGGTATTTCAGTTATTTACTTTTAATAAATTTGCAAAAATGTCTAAAAACCTGTTTTCGCTTTGCCATTATGGGGTATTGTGTGTAGATTGCTGAGGATTTATTTTTTTAATACATTTTAGAATAAGGCTGTAACGTAACAAAATGCGGACAAATTCAAGGGTTCTGAATTATTTCCGAAGGCACTGTACATTGTTCTTCATCACACCACAGGTTTTAGAGTCCATATTGTCTAAATTTCTATGGAGATATTGTCCCCCGTCTGTCCATAATCTAACCGTCTCCTCCCCTCCAATAGGAAGGTAAAAAACGTTGTCCAGCGGTGTCCTGGTGACCGTTGCCGAGTCTCGCAGGTAGGTTTGAAGTAGGTCGTAGTCCCCATGGCGATGGCGTCAAACTGTTCCGTCAACAGCCAAGCCTCCCAAAGGATTGTCAGAGCGTTCATTATCGTCAATGTGACCACCCAGAACTGTGCAGCTACTGCCCTAACCAACGACTGGTCCTCAAGGGACACCACCACCACATACAGGTGGTAAGTTGCCGCAGCAACGAAAAGGAGGTGTGCTGCGGCCATGGAGAGGATGAAGCTGATGAAGAGGCGATGGTTTCCCCTACCAATGCAGCGGTTCAGGAACAGGCAGTGGTGGTCGTAATCCCTCACACACACATCACACAACTTACAGTGTTTAGTATGGTCCGGCTGGAACAACTAGAGAGAGGGGGAATAGCAGTGAGAAACACTGTTTCTGTTTGAGAGGTTAACTTCAGAAGGGATAGATGTGGTAAAGGAGTCAATGGAACACAGACGTTCCATTGACCAGATTGGTGCACATATAGCAAATTTGATCTAACAAAGTGGATATTCGTCAAATCCGTCATGATTTATGTATTTTAAACAGGCCCACAATGTGGTTAATGAAGTTATATTTGGATATATTTGGCTGTTTTCGTGCATTAAAATGTAGAAGTTGTCCCTTTTCAGGTTTAGAAGAAGTGACTGCTAAATGCTAATTCCAGTTCGGATAAATCGGTGGTGGTGGTCAGTCGTTTTTAACTGTAATGCAGTTGATTGGTAATGATGACATAAACATGTGTTGGGGTTGACATCCATACCAACATTTTACTCCGCTTTTTACCTCAACATAGTGTGAAATACACATATAAACAATAGGCTAAATGCAGGCTAATTTTGCTGGAGGGCAATGAGGAGACTCGGAATCTTTCTCCCATACGTTTCCATGGCAATTCCATTGTTTTGTTCGAGTTCGATTGATCTTTTTACCGCATCTATGCACTTCTATAAATCATATCATAAATACAAAAACTATGTTTTAAGCAGGGGTTGGAACCTGTTCAGGGAAAATAACTGAAATTTTTCGAGGAACAGAACCAGAACGAAAGTGATCTATACTAATCCGTAATAGAACCGTTATTTTAAAAGCATAGGAACCAGTTTATAACTTTCTTGTACGTTCTGGGCATTTTTTTTTCAGTCCCACAAAAAACTCAACAAAGTGCCTATGCAAAGCCCTCGCTGTCACTCAGAAACTTATTCCAGTGTCTGCCTGCTTGCCAGTTGAAAATCATTGCCTGTGTGTGTAGGCTATCTGCCTCTCCCGTCCCTCCGAAGCACAGTCTACAGTAGCTACTGACGTTACAAGCATGATTCAGAAATTAGGGAGAGAGATTTGGATTTACTTTTTCAATGCTAGTTACAGATACTATAGTTATCACGTTTCGTGTTGGATTTATTAACTACAAAAAGGTAAGACGTGTTTTTATTTTAATTCTGGTGCCGCTCTGCACACACAAGTGTGTTTGCTAGCTAGCAAGCTCTGGTCTAGGTAATGGAACTGATCAAGGGCCAGCTCTGGTCCAACGTTAGTTAAGCCTACTCTCTGAAGTTCAAAGACATTCAAAGTTCCTTCATAGAAGCCACTCCTCCGTAGGTATAATTCTGTGGGCCTTATTCAGATAATGCATGTCATAACAACAAGATGACCAGCGCTTCATGCCCATCGCTCTCTTCACCCTCGAAATTTAAGTTGCATCTCGCACCCTACACTACCCTTGTCTGTCCAATGCATGTAGCTACATAGCTTGCCCGCTCCATAGCAAGCTGTTCTATCCATTGGTTAAGTAATTTACTGTCTAGCTAAATGTACAAAAAAAAAATATTTTTCAGATGTTTAAAAAGGAACAGAAAGGAATGATATAAACCGCTACTATGTTTTGGTTCAAAACGGTTCAGAACTTTATTTTGCTGGTCGGAAACAGTGGAACGGAACAAAAAAAATGATGGTTCTGTTCAGAATGAAACGATTGGAAAATAATTTTGGTTCCAACCCCTGGTTTTAAGTGACAATCCCAAAAAATACAGGAAATTCTAATAAGCAACACTAAATTTAACATATGAACAAAAAATGTACAGCAAACTCAGCTTATTACATCTGCTACTGGGGTGGCAGGTAGCTTAGTGGTAGCTTAGTGGTTAAGAGCGTTGTGCCAGTAACCGAAAGGTCGCTGGTTCTAATCCCTGAGCCGATTAGGTGAAAATCTGTCGATGTGCCCTTGAGCAAGGCACTTAACCCTAATTGCTCCTGTAAGTCGCTCTGGATAAGAGCGTCTACGTAAATGTAATGCTACTGCTATTGATGTGCATTCACTGTAAAACATATATTTTTTAAGTTGAGTCAACTTTAAACAATCAAGGCAATCAGCTGTTTACTCAACTTTGGGGCAGGAAAGTTCTGGGTACATAGATTCCTTTGTTGTCTCAACACGTTTGCCAAAGTTGAGTAAACTAGATAAAGAAAACTGCTGAATGGATCGAGGCGCTGTTTGGTGAGCATTTAGCATTTAGGAAATGTAGTTCTCTGTGGATGTGCACAGTTTTGTTTGGGAATATGGAGGATTGATGAAAAAAAGAGGAGGAAAAAAATCAATTTAACATGCATTGCCCAATCAACTATAATCACCACTATAATACCATGACAAAAGGAGGGCAGGATAAACGTATTTCTCGCCACAGCTCAAATCTCAGCTGCATCACTAACTTAAACAACTCTGTCTTTTCTTAACTCATAATAAAGATTGATTGATTGATGGATGGATTGGTTCTCCTCACCTCACAGTAGATGCAGAACCTCTGAGGATTCTGTTTTTTCTCCAGCAGGTCTGCTATGGAGGAGTAGCGAGGATCTGCGTCTCCCGGTCCCAGCTCCCCAGGATCCTGGGTTAGAACCCTCCAGAACAGGGCCAAAACCACAGAGAACTGGACCAGCGACACATTACCCAGAACACCATCCCCCCACAAGCGTCACAGCAGGTTAAGGCTCAACCAACAATATACTACATGTAGGCTACATACATATAATGTATGATGGATAGTCAGTGTAAAGTATATTCATCATTGTTCAGCTACAAAATAGTCAACCACAACATCCAGGAACTACAGTCACTAGCAAGGTTTGGAATTTGATGTGGTTGAAGCCACTTTTCTTTATCAGGCCTTCCCTATCCTGTGTATGTGACAATACAACATACTTTTTTAAAAAGTATATACTTTATTGTAATAGAATTAGGCAGTACACAATATTAGGCAGTACAGTATCACTGTGATATAAAGGATATTTGGCGGCAGTATTCTATAGTAGAAGCAGACTAGAGAGTGGAACAGTCCAGCTATCATAGTCCCTAGGTAGACGGGGTTGGCCAACCTGCAACACAACACAGGACAGGTAATGGAAAAAATAACAATACAATGGATGAATATACTGTATAATGCAGACACACACACACACACACACAAACACACATAGTTAGCACGCACACACACACGCACAGACACACAGTCTGTACCTCTGGTAGGTGGTCATGCGGTGGAACTGGGAGAAGATACTCCTGGCCAGCCAAGGGAAGAGCACGGCGCACGTTATCCCTCCGTAGCCCCCCAACATCGTTGCGATAATCAGAATCACTCCTCCGATCAGACACGGGTAGAATAACGTCCAGTAGTACAGGACTGGACGTACATACACACACACAAAAACACACACAGAGATCCACGCATGCACGGATACACGCACACACAGAAACAATTTTACACAGAAACATGATTCGATGTCACACAATGTTCATTACAGTTAAACTTATCACAGCCTCATTAGAGACTAAAGGCATAGCACCTACGGTGGGACTCGTCGGGTTTGCTGAAGGGTGGCTCCTTCATGTAGCGGGTCAGTAGTTTGCTCAGCTGCAGATGTCTGTGGAAATACAACCCCAACACAGAAAATGATGGTGGTATGGCAATGGGACAGAAGAGGGTGACAGTGTGATATATTCCTGGGTTGTATTTATTAGGTCACACAATGGAAAACGTTTTAAAACGTTTCGCACCTGAAAAGAAAAAAGAAAGTTTCAGATTAGTCCCTCCCTGTTTTTGTCTGTTTTCCTCCGTTTTGTGCCTAATGAATACCCAGGTAAAGGTTAGAGCTATTGGGACCCACCTGAATGTCCTTCCCTGCCTGCAGAGGTCCAGAGGTGTGTGTCCGCTGTAGGTCTTCAAGTGTAGTATCCTGAAGCCTGATCTCTGTAGCAGCGTCCAACACATCTCTACACAGCCTCTCTCTGATGCCACATGGACCGCCGTCAACCCATCCTCGTCCACAGTCTCCACCATACACCTCTGACACACACACAAAACATATTTTAAATAGTGCGGCAGCAATCCTACAAAGTTGAAGGATACTGCAGCCGAGCGCTCCAGCAAGGACCGCATGTTACAGAGATTGTGCAGTTGTTCACCTCCCTTCAACGATTTGAAAGGACATGACTGGAAATTTGGTGGAACTCCCACTTGGCTATTTTTACATTTACATTTTAGTCATTTAGCAGACGCTCTTATCCAGAGCGACTCACAGTTAGTGAGTGCATACATTTTCATACTGGCCCCCGTGGGAATCGAACCCACAACCCTGGCATTGCAAGCGCCACGCTCTACCAACTGAGCTACACGGGGCTATGCCTCCACTAATTCAATGCTTTTACATTTGTGGGAAGTTCAGGAGAAAGGAGATATTATTGTGACGCACCTCAGGACTTTACATGCCCCGTTTGTAACAGATAATGTGACTTGAGGAACTGTAGTCTGTAAGGTAAACTCCATATCGAAACCCAATAGAAGTGGAACATGGAAGTCATCATCAGACTTACGTTCTAAGCAAGTAAGTGTGTACATCTCACCTTGTATCGGAGCAGGTAGCGGACGACCTCAGTGTTGCCTGCATCAGCAGCCAGGTGTAGAGGTGTAACATGGTACATGTCTCCATCACACCACCTGAACATTCCCGTCTCCCACAGGTACTGCATCGCTACACTTGGAGACACGACGCAGGGTAAGAGTGAGTAGTTGTGTGTAGGTTTATGTGTGTGTGAGTGTGTGTGTGTGTACATGCATATGGACACACCTACTCATTTCAGGGATTTTCTTAATTTTTACATTGTAGAATAATAGTGAAGACATCAAAACTATGAAATAACACATATGGAATCATGTAGTAACCAAAAAAGTGTTAAACATATCAAAATATATTTAATATGAGATTCTTCAAAGTAGCCACCCTGGAATGCTTTTCCAAAAGTCTTGAAGGAGTTCCCACATATGCTGAGCACTTGTTGGCTGCTTTTCCTTCACTCTGCGGTCCAACTCATCCCAAACCATTTCAATTGGGTTGAGGTCGGAGGATTGTGGAGGCCAGGTCATCTGATGCAGCACTCCATCAGCCTTATTGGTCAATTAGCCCTTACACAGCCTGGAGGTGTGTTGGGTCATTTTCCTGTTGAAAAACAAATGATAGTCCCACTAAGAGCAAACCAGATGGGATTGCGTATCGCTGCAGAATGCTGTGGTAGCCATGCTTGTTAAGTGTGCCTTGAATTCTAAATAAATCAAAGACAGTGTCACCAGCAAAGCACCATCACACCTCCTCCTCCATGCTTCACGGTGGGAACCACACATGCAGAGATCATCCGTTCACCTCCTCTGTGTTTCACAAAGACACGGCGGTTGGAACCAAAAATCTCAAATTTGGACTCATCAGACCAAAGGACAGATTTCCACCGGTCTAATGTCCATTGCTTGTGTTTCTTGGCCCAAGCAAGTCTCTTCTTCTTATTGGTGTCCTTTAGTAGTGGTTTCTTTGCAGCAATTCGACCATGAAGGCCTGATTCACGCAGTCTCCTCTGAACAGTTGATGTAGAGATGTGTCTGTTACTTAAACTCTGTGAAGCATTTATTTGGGCTGCAATCTGAGGCCGGTAACTCTAAAGAACTTATCCTCCGCAGCAGAGGTAACTCTGGGTCTTCCTTTCCTGTGGCGGTCCTCATGAGAGCCAGTTTCATCATAGCGCTTTATGGTTTTTGCGACTGCACTTTAAGAAACGTTCAAGGTTCTTCAAATTTTCCGGATAGAATGACCTTCATGCCTTAAAGTAATGATGGACTGTCGTTTGTCTTTGCTTATTTGAGCTGTTCTTACCATAATAATATAATATACCATTTAGCAGACGCTTTTATCCAAAGCGACTAACAGTCATGTATGCATACATTTTAACATATGGGTGGTCCCGGGGATCAAACCCACTACCCTGGCGTTACAAGCGCCATGCTCTACCAATTGAGCTACAGAGGACTATCTTCTGTATAGGGCTATATTTTGTATACCACCCCTACCTTGTCACAACACAACTGATTGGCTCAAACGCATTAAGAAGGAAAGAAATTCCACAAATTAACTTTTAACAAGACACACCTGTTAATTGAAATGCATTCCAGATGACTACCTTATGAAGCTGGTTGAGAGAATGCCAAGTGTGCAAAGCTGTCATCAAGGCAAAGGGTGGCTACTTTGAAGAATCTCAAATATAAAATATATCTTGATTTGTTTAAAACTTTTTTGGTTACTACATGATTCCATGTGTTATTTCATAGTTTTGATGTCTTCACTATTATTCTACAATGTAGAAAATAGTAAAAAATTAAGAAAAACCCTGGAATGTGTAGTTGTGTCCAAACTTTTGACTGGTACTGTATATATATATATATATATATATATATATATATATATATATATATATATATATGTGTGTAATATTATGTAGCTATGTGTGTGTGTGTGTGTGTCCTTACATGTTGCCTCCAGACACTCCATGGTGTAGGGCGGTTTTGCCCTGATGGTCTACCATGCGTAGATCAGCTCCATGCTGCATCATCTGGTGCATCACATATACATTACCATGCCTGGAGAGACACAGACATTACCGCATTAATAGTATAATTCCATTTCTCCCCCTTCTTTGCTAGTGCTTGGAGCTTTTCGCTACACCCGCAATAACATCTGCTAAATACGTGTATGCTACCAATACAATTTGATTTGATTTACACTTGTTCACTCCCCCTCAAGGATTTCAAAGCATTGGATTGATGTAAGTACAGGCTGGAGAGAGGTTCCACCATATTTCTTACACCAGTACATTCCTTTTCCATCCATGAGGGGGAGTGTACGAGTGCACACTTCAGGGAGAAGAGGGAGAGACAGGGGCATTTATAGATGCTCCAGGGGCCCAACGCTCTTCCCCTAGTCCCTTTCCACAGATCTAATCGGACTGGATAGGGGGACCAATTCAGTCCATTAAAATCTGCAGATACTGACGTGGTAGGAGACAGGTAGTGTTACTGACCTGCATGCTAAATGGAAGGCCGTCATTCCTGCATCACAGGTCAGGTTGGGGTCAGCTCCATTGCTTAGCAACAGGTTAACTATTGAACGGTTACCATTGAGGGCCGCAAAGTGGAGAGGGGTGAAATCACTCCAACCTACACACAGACACAGATACAGACCGACACACAAAGATGATTAGGGTGCTATAACTGTAAATGATCACATTCATTGTATTACTTTGAGATATTGTCACTTTCAACCTAACCACCCAAAGAGCAGTAGGCCTACTATTGTCTCTTTACCACTGATTTTAGCTGCTGTGACTTCATGTCATTCTGTCACAGGAGATGTGAGTGTCTGAAAGGATAGACTGATTAACTACTCATCTCAGATAACTGATAAAACAGACAGGGTTAGGGGTCTCTCTCTAAAACAGACAGGGTTTGGGGTCCCTCTCTCAACATGACAAAATCCCAACAGGGGACATCAGCAGTCAGCTTTCAGCAGTCATTTAAGAACAGTGAGTGGTGATGCATTCTGGAACTGTGATGGGACTCTGAAACTTACATTTTGTATGATTTTAAACTAGGCCGAATATGGCTAGTAGTGATAAGATAGTAAGATTGGTTATAACACATTATATAAATCAATATCTGCTGCCTGTAACAAAGCAATTTGCTCATGCATATTTGATGCTGCAAAGCGATAGCTGGGTGAAAAAGGCTTGTGGAAAAGCTCTGACGACAGACATTTTAGTCTGACCGTCTCTGACATGCTTATTATTCAGAATTTACTTACAGAAGGTCAGAATAACGGTATGATAATTTAGGCACACTACCCAGAAGTGCCCTTAGAATAGGCTACAGTTTGGTTAGCCCAAAGTCGGTTTCCTCCTCAACTCAAGAAGGCGAGAGAAAAGGGGAAAATATGCGTACTTTCTTTAGGAAACACCAGTGGCTAATGCTAGTCCCGGATGTTGCGTACCGCGTTAAGCCAATCAGGCTGCAGCAGTTTGTTTTTTCACCCCTGGTCTGATAGTTTCGAAATAAAACGTATGCTTACTGAACAAGCAGAATTTCTTTTATATTGAAAACATACAACCTATTTGCAGTGAAGCCACTCAACATCTACATCACATTAGTAATCTAACAGACTGCCATCCAGAGCGACCCACAGAAGCAACCATGGTCAACGCCCTGCTCAAGGGCACGTCGACAGATCACCCATAAGGTCAAAAACGGGGACCCGAACCAGCAACCCATCAGCCACCGACCCAAGCTTCCAACCGCCAGGCCACCAGCCCTCCAAGATCCCCCCCACAGTTCCCCCAGGAGCTGGCCACCCTCTTCGGATTTATACGCACCATATATCTTTAAGTAGAATAGATGTATTTTTTCACCCCAGATGCAATATGCAATTACTGTAATGATTGCTTTGTAAACGAGTTCATGCCAACAAATTCAATGCATGTCATTAAAAACTGTTTGTTCAGTAAGCACAACTTTTATTTTGAAATTGTCAGACCAGGGGTGTATTCATTATGGCATATTATTATTATTATTATTATTATTATGCCGAATCTGTTGCAAAACATTTCTGAAATGGAAGAAAATGTGGATGGACCTTCCTGAATTTGTCCAATAGAAACTCAAATTAAATTAAAATCTAGTTTTATTTGTCACAAGCTCCGAATATACCTGGTGTAGACTTTACAGTGAAATGCTTGCTTATGAGCCCTTCCCAACGATGCAGAGTAACTAAAATATTAACACAAGGAATACAAAAAAATACACAAGAATGGAGCTACACTACGTGACCAAAAGTATGTGGACACCTGCTCGTCGAACATCTCATTCCATAATCATGTGCATTAATATGGAATTGGTCCCCCCTTTGCTGCTATAACAGCCTCCACTCTTCTGGAAGGCTTTCCACTAGATGTTGGTATATTGCTGCAGGGATTTGCTTCCATTCAGCCACAAGAGCATTAGTGAGGTTGGGCTCTGATGTTGGGCGATTAGGCCTGGCTCACAGTCGGTGTTCCAATTCATCCCAAAGGTGTTCGATGGGGTTGAGGTCAGGGCTCTGTGCAGGCCAGTCAAGTTCTTCCACAACGATCTCAACAAACCATTTCTGCATGGGGGCATTGTCATGCTGAAACAGGAAAGGGCCTTCCACTCCCGAGTGGCGCAGTGGTCTAAGGCACTGCATTGCAGTGCTAGCTGTGCCACTAGAGATCCTGGTTCGAATCCAGGCTTTGTCGTAGCCGGCCGCGACCGGGAGAACCATGGGGCGGTGCACAATTGGCCCAGTGTCGTCCAGGGTAGGGGAGGGAATTGCCGGCAGGGATGTTTGTAGAGCATGGTGTTTGCAACGCCAGGGTTGTGGGTTCGATTCCCATGGGGGGCCAGTATAAAAATAAATAATGTATGCAGTCACTAACTGTAAGTCGCTCTGGATAAGAGCATCTGCTAAATTATGTAAATGTAAACATGAGTTTTGAATGACTACCTCATCTCTGTACCCCACACATACAATTATCTGTAAGGTCCCTCTGTCGAGCAGTGAATTTCAACCACAAAGACCAAGGAGGTTTTCCAATGCCTCGGAAAGAAAGGCACCTATTGGTAGATGGGTAAAAAAAAAAGCTGACACTGAAAATCCCTTTGAGCATGGTGAAGTTATTAATTACATTTTGGATGGTGTATCAATACACCCAGTCTCTACAAAGATAAAGGCATCCTTCCTAAGTCAGTTGCCAGAGAGGAAGGAAACCACTCAATGATTTGAGGCCAATGAGGCCAATGGTGACTTTAAAACAGTTACAGTTTAATGGCTGTAATAGGTGAAAACTGAGGATGGATCAACAACATTGTCGTTACTCCACAATACTAGCCTAAATGACAGAGTGAAAAGAAGGAGGCCTGTACAGAATTTTCAAAAATATATTCCAAAACATGCATCCTGTTTGCAATAATGTACTAAAGTAAAACTGCAAAAAATGTGGCAAAGAAATGAACTTGAATACAAAGCGTTATGTTTGGGGCAAATCCAACCACAACACATCACTGAGTGCCACTCTTCATATTTTCAAGCATGGTGGTGGCTGCATCATGTTATGGGTTTGCTTGTCGTCAGCAAGGTCTAGCAAGTTTTTTGGGATTAAACTAAACGGAATAGAGCTAAACACAGGCAATATCCTAGAGGAAAACCTGGTTCAGTCTACTTTCCAACAGACACTATGAGAGAAATTCACCTTTCAGCTGGACAATAATCTAAAATGCAAGGCCAAATACACACTGGAGTTGCTTACCAAGACAACATTGAATGTTCCTGAGTGGCCTAGTTACAGTTTGAATTAAATTGGCTTGCAAACCTAAGGCAAGACTTGAAAATGGCTGTCTAGCAATGATCAACAACCAACTTGACAGAGCTTGAAGAATTTTTAAAAGAATAATGTGCAAATATTGTACAATCCAGCTGTGCAAAGCTCTTAGAGACTTACCCAGAAATACTCACAGCTGTAATCGCTGCAAAAGGTGATTGTAACATGTATTGACTCAGGTCTAGTCCCGTGTAGCTCAGTTGGTAGAGCATGGCGTTTGCAACGCCAGGGTTGTGGGTTCGTTTCCCACGGGGGATCAGTATGAATTTTTTTTTTAATGTATGCATTCACTAACTGTAAGTCGCTCTGGATAAGAGCGTCTGCTAAATTACTAAAACGTAAATGTCTTGAGTACTTATGTAATCAAAATATAGTCTTTTTTTTATGTTTTAATTTTTCTTCCACATTACATTATTTAGTGCTTCAACAAAGTACTGAGTAAAGGGTCTGAATATTATGTAAATTTGAAATGTGCGTTTTTTATTTTTAATAAATTTGCAAACATTTCTAAAAACCTGTTTTTGCTTTGTCATTATGGGGTATTGTGTGTAGATTGGGGGGGGGGGGGGGGGGGGGTCAATTTAATGCATTTTAGAATAAGGAACAAGTCGAGAGGTCCGAATACTTTCCGAATGCACTGTATAGTCTAATGTGTGTGCATAGGGTCAGTACAAGATAGTCAGTGCAGATAGTTTGGGTACCATTAATTGACTATTTAGCAGTCTCGCTATTTAGCAGCCTTATTTTTTTAGTTCACCTTTATTTAACTAGGCAAGTCAATTAAGAACAAATTCTTATTTACAATGACAATGACGGCCTACCAAGAGGCAAAAGGCCTCCTTTGGGGATGGGGGCTGGGATAAACAATTTAAATGTAGGACAAAACACATCACGACACCACAAATCTACATAAAGAGAGACCTAAGACAACAGCACAGCATGGCTTGGGGGTAGAAGCTGTCTCAGAGCCTGTTGGTCCGAGAGCTGATGCTCCGGTACCGTTTGCCGGACGGTAGCAGAGTGAACGGTCTATGGCTTGGGTGGCTGGAGCCTTTTCAATTTATCAGCCCTTCCTCTGTTTTAGTTGCAAAACCGAACTGTTTGGACTAATGATTACACCCCAGGGGTGGAAAAAAACAGACTGCTGCAACCTGATTGGCTGAACACTGTACGCGACAAGCATTAGCCACTCTAGCATGGTGTTTCATAAATAAGGTATGCGTATTTTCTCTGTTTGTGTCTCGTCATTAAATCAAGTTAAGGAGGAAACCGGTACTTTTGCAGCCTTAATGTACAATGTTTTATGTACGAACCGGTTCACGGGGATACATAGGATTGTATAGCTGGCTGCGCACATTCTCTTTGGACGGTAAGATTAAACGTGCCAGGTTAGGAGAATTAGGTTAAGGTTAGGAAAAGGGTTAGGGTTTGTTAAAATTGTCTCCGACGCGACTCGAAAATATCTAGCTACCAGGCCTGCCTGAGAACAGTCTTGGTATCCACAAATGCTCTTCTGCAATATGATAGGCTTTTGGAAAAATTAAATAGAAAATAACATTAATTCCCCAAACGTGTGAACAGTAAATTGTTGGCTAATGCATACTTCAAAAATGCATAGGCAGGCCTATAAACGTACCTTTCTTTTTGAGGATAGATCGATCATGTTGAATGATATGTGCACACTGATCAATGTTTCCTCGTTGGATACAGTCAAAAATGTCCCCGTCGACCCTAGGCATTGGAAGCATGATGCGAATACTGTGCCGCCTGACTATCACTCTGTCAATGTGAAAAACATATCCATACAGAGACGATACATTGTAACAACAATCATACGTTCATTTAGCAAAGACCCTTGGCTACTAAGTAGCTGGATTTTGTTATTGTCTTAAAACTGACTGCAGTCACGTATGCTACGTTCACTTTAGGTTAGACTGCAGTAGGCAGGACAGACCCCGCCTAGCGCTTCTGATTGGATAGAATTTTCCTCATCACGACTTGTGTTCCAAGAAATAAAACCATGCCTGCAACCTGGTCGCAAAGCATTTAGTATTATTCTGAACGTATATCGGGGACTCTCGTTTAGTTTGATATGTTACGTTTCGTATGGTATTAATTTGTGAATATCCATCATCCATTTCTTATTATGTTACGAATTACAATTTGTATGCTATTATGAATTTGCTAAAAGTACAATATGTTAAAATTTTGATAAACATATGATATTTTACGAATTCCAGTTTGTTGTGGCTAACGTTAGCTAGGTATCTAGGTGGCTAACGCTAACGTTAGCTAGCTGGCTAACGTTAGCTAGGCGAGGTGTTAGGGTTAAGGTTAGGAGTTATGTTAAAGGGTTAAGGTTAGGGGAAGGGTTAGCTAAAAGGGAAAAGGTTAGGGGAAGGGTTAGCTAACATGCTAAGTAGTGATTAGTTTAAAAGTTGCTAATGAGCTAAAATGCTAAAGTTGTCCATGATGAGATTTGAATATACAACCTTTGATTTGCTAGATGTAACCTTCTGTCTTATTTAACCATATCAAACAAAACATATCAATCATACTAATTTTACAGTCCCAGATTTACTATAATTATGTTACGCCTAGTCTATGAGACCAGGCTGCGTATATGGATTTGTCGCTTTATATCAGTGAAACTGAAAATCTCAACAATACATCTCTTCCATTGAAAGCCGTATTTAAAATTAATGTTGCTGGCTATGGCTGCTAAGGTTGCCTGTCGGATAAGCGCCAATGTTTAGCTAACACTATGTTTAGCCAACTGTACAAAGAATAATGTCAGCCATAAACATAATCAGCCAACAGTACATTGGCAAATGCGCCTTTCTGCTGCTTGACAGGCAGAGCCCACAAAGTATGGGAAATTAACCTAAACCACTCATACTTGTCAGGTATAGTTAACTTTTATATCACTCAAATATCAAATTAATGTTGGCCAATACTGAGAAATATCATGAGGGTAGCATTATTAATTAATGTTTAGGGTACTAGGGGGTAACAACCTTACTACCAGATCGTCTGAGATAAAATACATAAAAAAGATAACATAACTTAATCAACTTTGTAACCACTCCCTCTTCAAATTAGGGCTATTTGGAAAAGCTGTTCAAAAGAGGACATTGTATTATTTCTTTGTACTCCCTGATGAAGGCCATGCAGCCGAAACGCGTCGGATAAAAAAAAAAAAATGTTTCTATTGAACATGCCATACTAATAAAGGCATTTTAATTAATTATATGAAGAGTGCCTGGGTCCTCCATTATTTTTGATGACCAATTCACCCCCTTGACCAAAGAGCGCCTTCTGTCTACCAACATTTACTATTGTGTAACTTAGTAGCGCTTCCCTTCCTCCTATTTCTATAACTTAATTGCAGTTGCAAATGTTACGACTGGTGACTGATAGCTTTACAGTTAATGTTACTTTATAGCCTATAAGCTATTTTACACAGCATTTATTTCATATACAGTGGGGGGAAAAAGTATTTAGTCAGCCACCAATTGTGCAAGTTCTCCCACTTAAAAAGATGAGAGAGGCCTGTAATTTTCATCATAGGTACACATCAACTATGACAGATAAATTGAGGAAAAGAAATTCCGAAAATCACATTGTAGGATTTTTAATGAATTTATTTGCAAATTATGGTGGAAAATAAGTATTTGGTCACCTACAAACAAGAAAGAATTCTGGCTCTCACAGACCTGCAACTTCTTCTTTAAGAGGCTCCTCTGTCCTCCACTCGTTACCTGTATTAATGGCACCTGTTTGAACTTGTTATCAGTATAAAAGACACCTGTCCACAACCTCAAACAGTCACACTCCAAACTCCACTATGGCCAAGACCAAAGAGCTCTCAAAGGACACCAGAAACATAATTGTAGACCTGCACCAGGCTGGGAAGACTGAATCTGCAATAGGTAAGCAGCTTGGTTTGAAGAAATCAACGGTGGGAGCAATTATTAGGAAATGGAAGACATACAAGACCACTGATAATCTCCCTCGATCTGGGGCTCCACGCAAGATCTCACCCCGTGGGGTCAAAATGATCACAAGAACGGTGAGCAAAAATCCCAGAACCACACGGGGGGACCTAGTGAATGACCTGCAGAGAGCTGGGACCAAAGTAACAAAGCCTACCATCAGTAACACACTACGCCGCCAGGGACTCAAATCCTGCAGTGCAAGACGTGTCCCCCTGCTTAAGCCAGTACATGTCCAGGCCCGTCTGAAGTTTGCTAGAGTGCATTTGGATGATCCAGAAGAGGATTGGGAGAATGTCAGATGAAACCAAAATATAACTTTTTGGTAAACTCAACTCGTCGTGTTTGGAGGATAAAGAATGCTGAGTTGCATCCAAAGAACACCATACCTACTGTGAAGCATGGGGGTGGAAACATCATGCTTTGGGGCTGTTTTTCTGCAAAGGGACCAGGACGACTGATCCGTGTAAAGGAAAGAATGAATGGGGCCATGTATCGTGAGATTTTGTCACACAACACAATGCCACATATGTCTGAAGTTTTGAGGGAGCATGCACTTGGCCTGCTGTTGCCAGAGATTTTATTGTAATTTTTCTACTATAAGCCACCTCCAACGTCGTTTTAGAGACTTTGGCAGTACGTCCAACCGGCCTCACAGCCCTTTTGTGGGTGAAAACTCATTCTGATTGGCTGAGCTTGGCTCCCCAGTGGGTGGGCCTATGCCCTCCCAGGCCCACCCATGGCTGCGCCCCTGCCCAGTCATGTGAAATCCATAGATTAGGGCCTAATTAATATATTTAAATCGACTGATTCTTTATATGAACTGTAACTTAGCAAAATCTTTGAAATTGTTTCATGTTGCGTTTATATTTTTGTTCAGTATAGTTGTCAATGGTTTTAGCGGAGCTGGGGGTCTACTTGCTCCTAGGTTCAAAACCAGTTGACCAATTGTGTCAATATTCCAACCCATATGGACAACGCTTTAGAGCTGCCTGAAAAAGAACACAAGAATAGGGTTTCATTGAAATGGTAAACGGTGAAGAAATACAGTAGGTTGGTACTGTTTAATAACCACTTGCTGAATTGACTGTTAAAAAAGTCAGAGGATGTGAAAGACATAGTTCATGGGAATTTTACTGAACAGTTTGAACGAAAGATACAATGTATAGGCCTAAGCCTAATTATTTTATGATATTATTGGGTTGTAATAGTCTCCCGAGTGGCGCAGTGGTCTAAGGCTGTGCCACTAGAGATCCTGGTTCGAATCCAGGCTCTGTCGTAGCCGGCCGCGACCGGGAGACCCATGGGGCGGAGCACAATTGGCCCAGCGTCGTCCAGGGTAGGGGAGGGAATGGCCGGCAGGGATGTAGCTCAGTTGGTAGAGCATGGCGTTTGCAACGCCAGGGTTGTGGGTTCGATTCCCACGGGGGGCCAGTATGAAAAATATAAAAAATAATGTATGCACTCACTAACTGTAAGTCGCTCTGGATAAGAGCGTCTGCTAAATGACTAAAATGTAATTGTCATCAGTACCTGCTGCTCATTTGTAGTTTACACACCACAAGATGGTGCTCTCTACTAGGACAAGTGGCAGTGGTTCTCACACAGCACTACTATAGTGAGAGCCAAGTACTCCTTCACCCATTGAAAAAACTACAGTATTACACAAAGTGATTGCCTTTGATGTACAGTTATTTATTATCTCTCGCATAGTCCCTGGAGTGTATATTTAGTGAGAGTAAACTACCAGTACTTATAAAGTAATGAGCATTTTAATATGGACATATTTCCTTACCTTGAGGTGTATAGGGAAGTGCTATATCACAGAAAATATTTTTGTTGATGTTTGGCAACACGTTTGCCCAGCTATCATCATCATCAAGATGAGTAACATGACAGGTCTATAACAAGCCAAACAGGTCTCAATGTGGAGTGTAGGAACAGAAGGAAAAATGAGCAGCAGGAGGCTCCCATGGGACGAAGGAGGACAATGGCAGAAATGGATGTTCTGTTCGAAACTTATGGTGCGTCAGGTGAAGATGAGAGTACAGAGAGTGAGAGCAAGTGGGCTACAGTCGTGAAAAAGAAAGGAAACAAAATAAGTAAAGTTGTAATGGAGAAGATTCGTTTATAGTCGGAGTGAGGGTTTTGAATCAATGTTTCCTGGAGGATCCGTTCAAAGTCACGAGGAGTTTCATGGAGGCGTTGGTTAAGGTGGCGTCAGTGAGAGTCACAAGAGCTGGTCTTATTCAGATTTTTTGTGTGTCCGCGGAACAGAAGAAGCGTGCTTTTGCGCCTCAAAAATATTTTTGAATGGAATGTTTTGTGTAAGGATTTCCGAGGCAGGGCGCCTGTCAAGGGGGTTATTTATGGGGTTGCGCAGGAATTGGATCGGGACATCCGATACAATATGCCACATCCACCTTATCAATATATGTTTTTTTCCGTAAGAGATAAAACAATAACAATTATTTATAAACAACCTGGTTACAACACATTTGCATAGTGAACACTGCATTTCAATAACACATTTACATTTCCTCAATCAACCTCTGAGGTGCCTTTAATTCTCTACCTGACCGTCTTGTTTCAACAGGCTGCCCTGGTGTTGTCTGACACAGGAGTGTCTGGGCTGGACATTGTCTGACTTGTACTGTCACTCTCTTGCCTGTCTGTTTGCTCACGCTCCTGTGTAACCCCCAAATATAGAAAATGCGCTACAGGCAAAGATGGCAGAAATATTTTGGTCAGAT